GACAACAGGCAGCCCAAATCCTTATCCCTTATTGTTCTCCTCAACCCTAGATTCCATCCAAAACAGGAATTAGAATCAGAAGGAACTAAGAAAGAAGAAATTGGTTCATTCTTGAAGTCTGACAACACATATAAGGAGGGAAATTGGTCCATCAGAGATGAGTCCCCAACCCAAGGCTGCTCCCAGAATTTTACGAGATTACCAGAGTTCAGATCATACCTTATCCATGGGGAGAAAACCGGAAGCAAATCATGAATGGCTTTCCAAGGAGAAGCAACTGTAGTCCTTGCCAAGATTCCTAGATCCCGGTCATTGTCTTCCAGCCCATGTATACTAGCCACAATTCTTATTTATCACACTTATTTTTGTTTATATATGATATTAGAGATGTACCCAAATGATTTTTACAAAATTTGTTCATTTTTGTAACTTTTTTATGTTTTTATCTTTTTTAAAATTGTTATTATTTAATTATGACATCAAGGGTTAATATATTTGACCTAAAAGGTTGAATTATTGACCTACCACCAAACATGAGAACAACTTAACTTTTGGGTAAGTTTTGAATTTTGTATTTCCTTACCATCATCAATAAAAACAATCCTTTTTTGTTGCACCTTTTCTTTAATATGATTAATAAAATATTATCATCAATAAAACATTAGAGATGTGCCCAAATTTTTCTACAGTTTATTTTTAAATTTTTTGTTTGATATGATGAATATATAATATTAGAGATGTCCGGGTGCACTAATGTTTTCTACAAAGTTTCTGCATCTTTCATAATTGCTTGTATTTTTTATCTTTTTTATATTTTCATTTTTATTATTTAATTATGATATCAAGGGCAGACACATTTGACCCAAAAGGTTACATTGTTGACCCTCTTCCAAATAGGGAAAATAATTTAAGTTTTGGATCGGTTTTATATTTTGTATTACATTTCCATCATCAGTACAAATAATTCTTGTTTATCACACTTATTTTTATTTAACATGATTAATATAAAATATTAGTGAATGTCTATATTTTTTTTTGTGTGTTTTTATCTTTTTTAAAATTTTGTTATTTAACTTTGGCATCAAGGGCCGACACATTTGACCCAAAAGGTTGAACTGTTAACTCACTACCAAATAGAAAAACAATTTCATTTTTGCCGGTTTTAAATTTTGCAATTTATTTCTATCATCAAATAAAGCCAATTATTATTTATCATATGTATTTTTCCTTAATAAGTAATACAAAATATTAGAAACGTGCCTAGTTTTTCTACATTTTGTTTTTTTATATTTTTTGTGTTTATTTCCATCTTAAATGTTTTATTATTTAACTATGACATCATGGGTTGACCCATTTGACTTGGATGGTTGAATTATTTACCCACCACCAAGATGGAAGAATGGTGTCATTTTTGGGTTGGTTTTAAACATGGGTTTTATGTTGGGATATATATCTAATTGACAAAATTTATTTTACATGGGTTTTATATTGCTAAAAGTATTGGATATATATCTAATTGACAAAATTTATTTGAAGCAAAAAAAATGATAGAATTTATTAGTGAGAAAGAATAGCTTAAATATAGGATTTAATGAGAGAGAATGGGACTTATATATATATATATATATATATATGACTTAATGACAGGAAATTGAATGAGGTAAAAAGAAGTTCAAATTACATTTTCTATCCTCACAATTAGAGAGGGGCCAAATTAAAAGATAAGGGCATTTTAGTCAAGAACATGATTCAATGAAACTGCAGTAGCAACAGTAGGAGAAGAGCCCTCTGTTTCACAGAGAGAAAGAATGAAAGTGTAGGTATGGCACTATGGAGATGGACCAGGTTTTGGAGGTTGTTATCAGTGTTATGATGCAAGAGAGAAGAGAGGAAGAAAGAAGAGAGGAGAAGAGAGGAGAAAGATGTGAGAGCTCAAAAGGTTGCTGGCGGCGCTAGCTTTTTTGTTATATATACTAGGGCGACAGCAACTAAAAAATAAAGGTGAATAATTACAATAGTACCCCTGTGGTACTATACTTAGACAAATAACAGCTTTTAACACTCCCCCTCAAGTTGAGACATAGATGTCAATCATGCCCAACTTGTCACATAAATCATGATGCCTTGAGTGGTGTAGCCCTTTTGTAAAGATGTCTACAAGTTGATCTTCAGAGCTAACATAAGGATACACACTTCCCTTGTGACAACCTTTTCTCTAATAAAGTGTTTGTCAACTTCGATGTGTTTAGTTCTATCATGTAGCACTGAATTAGCAACAATGTTTATGGCTGCTTTGTTATCACAAAATAGGGTCATAGGTCTATCCACTGGAAAACCCTACTCACTCAAAAATTTTTTTAGCCACATAATTTCAGCCACTCTATGAGCCATTGCCTGATATTCAGCTTCAGCACTAGATCTAGCTACCACATTCTGCTTTTTGCTTCTCCAGGTAACTAGATTTCCTCCTATAAAGGTACAATAGCCACTAGTTGACTTTCTATCATTCGGGGATCCTACCCAATCTGCATCAATGTACACTTCAACTTTCAAATGCCCGTGCTTTTGAAACAACAATCCTACACCTGGGAACTTCTTAAGATATCTGAGAACTCTTTCTACTGCTTCAAGATGAGTGGTCTTGGGAGCATGCATGAATTGGCTAAGAACACCCACTGCATAAGCAATGTCGGGACGGGTCATAGAAAGATATAACAATCTTCCTATAAGTCTCTAAAACTGTTTCACATCCTTGATAGGTTCACCTTGGCAGTCACCTAATTTGTGGTTAGGATCAATAGGGGAATCAACTAGCTTCACTCCCAACTTTCCTGAATCCTAGAGTAGATCTAGGACATACTTTCTTTGGGAAATGAAGATACCCTTTTGTGAGTGAGCAGCTTCAATTCCAAGGAAGTACCTTAAGAGGACCTAGATCCTTTACTTCAAACTGTGTAGCAAGAAAAATCTTCAATTTTTCAATTTCATCCTTCCAATCGCCAGTGATAATTATATCATCAACATATACTATCAGTGCTACAATTTTTCCTTCCCCTCTTTTGACAAACAATGTGTGATCAGATTGACACTGCTTGTATCCTTTCTGCAGAACCGCTGCATGAAACCTGTTGAACCAGGCTCCCGGTGATTGTTTCAGCCCATATAATGTATTCTTCAACCTGCACACTTTCTGTTTATTTGCCTGAGCCCGAAAACCAAAAGGTTGTACCATGTAAACTTCCTCTTCAAGGTCACCATTCAGGAAGGCATTCTTGATAGAGCTGATGCAGATCCCAATCAAGATTAGCAGCAAGGGAGAAAGGGACTCTAATGGGATTCATCTTGGCAACGGGTGCAAATGTTTCTGCATAATCAACTCCATACACTTGTGTAAACCCCTTTGCCACTAAACGAGCTTTATACCACTCCACCATGCCATCAGCCCTATGTTTGACTGTGAAAACCCATTTACATCCAACTGGRTCCTTTCCCTKRGGAAGATCTACTAGTTCCCATGTGCCATTTTTATGTAGAGCATTAATTTCTTTCTTCATAGCATCTGTCCATTCAGGTACTGAAAGAGCTTCTACAACATTCTTAGGGATAGGCACACTCAAGGTTTAAGGTATCAACACGTATCGGCCCGTATCAATCGATACGTATCGTTCCAGGACCCCTCCGATACGCCCCTATAGAGGGTGTATCGGGGGTCTGACCGGTTCAGGGGATGGAGGAGCCCTAAACTAGCCCCCCTAAACTGGTTTCAGAAAAAAATAAAAAAAAAACTAAAAAAAAACTAAAAAAACAGTATCAATTTGCCTGATACGCCCATACCGGCGCATCGGGCATATCAATATTTTGAACCTTAGGCACACTGTCAATGGAAGTGAGAAAGGCCCGAAAAGAGGGTGAAATGTTTTCATTGGAAACAAAGTGGGAAATGGGGTATTTAACGGTGCAAGATCTAACACCTTTCTGGTGAGCAATAGGAAGGTCAAGGTCATTAGCAACAGAAGTATCAATAGCAATAGGGTCAGGAACATCGATAGGAACCAAGATACCTGAGTGAGTATGATTCACCCCCAAAGAGTTTGATGGCATTGGAGGTACAGTTTCTAGGTTCTCCAAAGCTCTTGAACATGGTTGGCCTTTGTGACGACGAAAGAAGACACAAAAAGGAGGAGGATCAGGAAAAGGAAGGAGTTGAACCAATTTCTCCTCATTCCTACACTCCCCCTGAGGAGAACCAGGGAAAAAAGGCTCACTTTCAAAGAAAGAAATGTCCATGGAAACATAAAACTTCCGAGAAACAGGATCAAAACAACGGTATCCCTTCTGAGTGAAAGAATACCCCAAGAAGATGCAAGGAATAGCATGAGTGTCTAATTTTCCACGAGTGGGTGATAGGTTTTGAATAAAACAATGACAACCAAACACACAAAGAGGAATGGAAAGAGGGGGAGCCTTAGGAAAAAAGAAGTTGATGTGGGGCTTTGCACTCTAACCAACGAGAGGGCATACGGTTGATGAGATAAGTAGCACAAAGGACAGCCTCAAGCCAAAATCGTTTGGGGACATTCATATGAATTAGTAAACCCTGGGCCACTTTAAGGAGGTGTCGTTTCTTTCTTTTAGCAACACCATTTTGTTGTGGTGTTCCGGTACAAGAACTACAATGAAGTGAACCACGTGAAGCAAAAAATCCGTGAGATCACTATGAAAATATTCTTTGGTCTTATCTGATTGAAAGATTTGGATTTCAATTTGAAATTGGGTGAAGATCATTCGTTGAAAATCTTGGATAATTTTTGGTACTTCATCCCTGGTTTACATGGGATATACCCATGTATATCTAGAATAATCATCGATAATGGTAATAAAATACTTGTAGCCACTCTCAAAAGGTAAAGCAACAGGGCCCCAAACATCAGAACGAACAATGTGGAAAGGAAATTCAGATTTATTATTCTTTGAAGGAAAATGAGTTCTACATTGCTTACTCAATTGACAAGTTTGACAAGTAAAATTTGAAACTGACACCGACTTAAACAACTCTAGAAACACCACTTTTAAAGACTCAAAAGATAAATGACCAATCTTATTCTCCAGCATGTAAAGTCCATCCACCATACATCCTCTACCAATTGTCTTCCTCAAGGCCAGATCCTGAATCACACAATAAGAAAGGAAAAAGGTCACTGAGCAGTTTAAGGAATTAGTAATACTACTAACAAATAACAAATTAATGGAAAATTTTGGGACATGTAAAACATCAGATAGGGCAAGGCCAAAAGGAAGAGATGGTTCCTTGACCAGCTATGGTAGTGTATGATCCATCAGCTAGTTTCACCTTGTCTCTTCCAAAAAGGAAGTGATAGGTTTGAAAGTAAGAGGACGTACCAATCATGTGTTTAGACGCTCCAAAATCAATGATCCAAGGAGTGTCAGGGGTATGAGATGCTACATGGAAAGTTGTGGTAGAGTTACCTGACGTAGACGCAAATGAAGTTGAGGAAGGTGCATCCATCTAACGAATTGCTCTACCATAGAGCTCTAAATGGTCACGGAAGGAATTAATAATATCCTCCCTTGGGTCAGATCCTGAGGCATGAGTCGGAGTCACAGTAGTAATGGGGGGCTGATTTTCCTCAGAAGCCATGTTTGCCACAGTGTTCTTTCTTGTACTTTGCTGTACCGACTTTTTATTCAAATCTGAACCTTGCTTCTTACTCGAATCTTGAGCCCATTTCGGCTTCCCATGAAGATCCCAGCATGTATCTCAGGTGTGTCGGGGTTTCTGGCAATGAGTACACCACAGTTTGTCTTTTTCATCCGCCCTTTTTTGAGAGTCCCCCCTCTTAAAGGTATTTCCACCACTTGTAATCACACTCCCTCTTGCTGCCAACCCAACTGCATCCCCTCCAAAATTGTTCATCAAATTCCTTCTACTTTCTTCTGATTGTACAAGAGCATAAACTTCCTGAACGGAGGGAAGATCCTTGCTACCTAGGATCTGAATTCTGATAGATTCATATGCAGGATTCAAGCCATGTAGGAAAGCAAACACTCTCTGCTGAGAAACAAGTTTCTTGTATAACTTTGCATCTTCATCACACTTCCAGTCCACACTCTAATAATGATCTAACTCCTTCCAAACAGAGGTCAAGTCTGAATAGTACACAGAAAGGCACCTCTCCCCCTATTTACAAGTGGACGATTCTACCTATAACTGATAAATCTTTGCATAGTGACGTAGCTCAGAATCGGTTGATTTTGCCTGTTCTCAGATTTCATTTGCTGTTTCAGCCCACATAAAGTTCCTTCTTATTTGGGGTTGCATAGACACTAAAAGCCAAGACATGACCATGCTATTTTCCTGGTTCCATCTATCATATTCAACACTCCCAGAATTAGGTTCTTTAATTCTCCCATTTATATAACCCATCTTTCCCCTTGCAGTAATGTACAACCTGATCCCTCTTGACCATTCCAAATAATTTAAACCATCGAGAGGAATAACAGCCATGGGAAAGGATAAGTCCGCACCCCCACTCAGTCCATTCTGCATTGAGGAAACACCGGACGTAACAGAATCTTCACCGCTCATGGTTACAGATTCAAAAAAACTGTAAGGTGGGAGCAAAACCTTTAAAAAAAGGCTAACACCAAGGGAGAAAGGAAGCCCCCCTCCCCTTTTTTCTTCAGAAACACAACCCCTTTTGATTAACACCAGGTGCTGTTACCCCCTTTTGGAAAACACAGGTGCTGTAACAGCACTAGCAGGCCCCTTTTTTTATAAACACAGGTGCTGTTACAGGGCAGACAGGTCAATTTTTGATCTACGCATCAAACATAGAAATCTGTTATAGCAAGTACAGGTCACTCTGACCTTCAGATTCAGCATAAAACTGGTTCAGCATAAAAAAACTGCTATCGCAGCACATAAAAGGTCTTCACTGACCTACAGTTTTTTACAGGGGTCAGTCGACCCCACAAAAAAGGAAAGACAGAGGTGCTGGTCACCTCACATCCAACCAGCAGACCTAGTACAGGTTCTGCCCTGGCACACGACCAGAAAAAAAGAGGGAAGGAGAGAGATTATTTCAGGCGTGAGGAGACTTGATCTGTAGATGATGGCGGCAGATCTGGAAGTCTGGTGCGATCTCTCCTTTTCAGATCTGATGGTCCCGCTCTGATACCATGTTTTTTTTTATCAATTCGCTCTGATACCATGTTATCAGTGCTATGATGCAGGAGAGAAGAAGAGAGGAATAAAGATGTGTGAGAGCTCAAAAGGTTGCTGGCGGCGCCACCTTTTTTGTTATATATACTAGTGCGACAGCAACTAAAAAATAAATGTGAAGAATTACAATAGTACCCCTGCAGTACTATACTTAGACAAATAACAGCTTTTAACAGAGGTAAAGTGTAGGATGCTGGGAAGAACAAGGCATCAAGCAAGAAATTGGATTGGAAAGAAGAGGGTAGAACTTTCAGGGAATAAAGGACAGAATGATGCTATGGCTAGAATGATAACTGCTCAAACTGATAGAACAGTTGGAGATGAAGAAAACTGGTGACAGAATGATTATGAAGGTATCTAATGACTCGAATGATCTGAATTATTCACTTTCACATCATGAACCCTAGTATTTATAAATGAAGGGAGGGCCCACTTCATGCATGAGCAAGGATCAAGAATTCTAGAATATTCCTTAGGTGGTTAAGGGCTCTAGTCCCTAGGTTGCTCCAATGAGGACACATGTCGGGCTGCGATGCAGGAAAAATATTCGCTCTAATTCCCACACCCACAAGCTCCTACCACATGTCGTCTCAAGGGAGACAAGATCTATCGTACAAAGCTTTTTTTATTTGCTCCGTAGACCGCAGCTTGCTTTATTTACTTTGTCTTGCAACCCATGAAGGGCATCCACGGTTCAGGTCTAAGTGTATCTTCCTTAGACAAGTGCTACTAACCAAATGACCACACAGCTTGTAGTTTTGCTACTGCGGCTAGTTCACAGCGATACTTCAGTCTTATATAAGTCTATCCCCTTATAGAAAGAAGTAGCCAAGGATCCTTGTAGTTGCCAAAAAAATAAATGTTTACCTGTCTTCAGGAAGCTATAAAGGATCCTCTCAGCAACCAGTCCTCTTTCTATCTTGCAATGCACTGCATTCCCCTCCCCTTCATTGACCATCTCTTCTCCTTGGCAAACCAATTTTATCTTCCCTTGCACCTTGCACCTTGCACCTCAGTCTCTAGGACTCTCTTGCACTTTAGTATACTGCTCATATGATTAAGGTGTACCTCTTGTATAGAGGTGTATAAAAAGCAGTATTACAAGGACATGGACACAGGATTCAGAATTTGACGCATGTATGGGAGTTTGACATGGTAAGATGACGAAACAAGGACTCGTGGACACAATCTATAGAAAAGCATAAACTATTAAAACACTCCATATTTTGTTGGATTTTAACAAGGACTTATTGGCATGTGGTTTTGGAGATTCTCCACAACCAAATAGTCTTTGGGAAAAGATTATAGCAGAGAAATAGGGCTTAAGTAGAAATGGTTGGGATTATGAAAATTCTCAGTTTCTCACATGTCTTACGGGTATAGTGTTTAGAAGGGTATCTACAAGGCTTTTAATAAATTTTGCAAAGGATGCAGGTTCAAAGTAGGAGATGGAATATTACATTTCTGGTTGGATTCATGGTGTGAGGGCAGAGCTTTATTGTAGCAGAGATCAAATTGGTGAGGGTTGCTGGATCTTATGTGGTAGATATAACATGATTGCATGGGTTCTCTCCTTTAGGAGTATCAATGACCAGTAGACCTGTTCACGGGCCGGGCTTCAGGCCCAACTTTACACTGTCTCGGGCTTGGGCTTCGGGCCAGGCCCATTAGAATTTTGACAAGAGCCAAGCCCGAGCCCGGCCCATGAACAGGTCTAATGACCAGGAACTGCCGAACTGGATTTAGTGGCTGAGCTTTTTGCTATACTCCAAAATCAGCACATAAACCTGCAAACCCATGATTCTAGATACTGGAAATGGACACACTAAGGAGTTTTCAGTGAAATCCTTTTATAATGCCATTATTGGGGAGACAGGTGAAGACTTCCCAAGCAAGGCCGTATGGGGGACTGGTGCTCCAGAAAAAAGTTAAGTTTTTTATGTGGGTGACAACTTGTGAGAAGTGTCTTACAAAAGATTTGCTGCTAGAGAAAGGCTTCACCACACCAGATTTGATTTCTGTGCTGTGTAGAAGTGAGGATGAATCCTCAAATCACTTGTTTTTACAGTGTGGTTGTAGTACCTCCGTTTGGTACCGTTTTTTCAGGGTTATAAAATTGCAGTTGCAGGTATGGCTAGGCAAAGGAAAGTCTGCTGGTCAGCTGTTCCGGCGGTTGTTACGTGGGCTATCTGGTATGAATGGAAAAAGGGAAACCTTTGAACAGAACCAACTACAGAAACAGGGGTGATTAATCTGGCAGTAGAACTTTTAAAGAGTTGGCTATCTTTACACATTGTATTGAAGGATGATATATTCTCTGCTTCTTTTTTGGGGTTGGATATTTTTTGGGGATCCTTAAAAGGCATATATTTGTACAGCATCTCATTGTACAGAGGACCATATTTTTTAAATTAATACATTATACTGTACCTTTCAAATTAAAAACATTTTATAGGAAAGTTCACATTGATTGTGTACGTTATCTGTTAATTTGTGATGAATGATCAAGGAGAAAGAGAAAAGCTTTACATAGAAATGTCCTTCAAGAATCCATAGTGTCAAGAGTCTGACATCTATAGCCAAAGTACATGGGAAATTTACCACTTATATAATGTTGCATTTTTTGCTTTTAGTTCCCAGACTGATGACCATGACATGAAGAAATTTAAGTAGGAGTTTGATCCTTATTTCTATTTCCATTAACATCTCTCTGGATGTCCATTTCAGGTTAGTTACTTATGCACTTAAATGTATTGAAAAATTAAGAGGAATTATTTCATTCATAGTAGTTTCCAAATGCTCTACTTGTATATATATATATATATATATATATATATATATATTTGTGTGCTTCCCTCACTAGTCAATGAAACTGATCTAGCAGTCACTGAAAGGAATTGATATGGGTAATTTGCAATGTTTAGAAAATCGGGTCGTACCGGCTGATTGAACCGTGACCCGGGGCCCTGACCGGTTCAGTAATACCCCAATAACCAGACTTGCTCAAAACTCACTGAAAACCGGCTGACTGGCTGGTTGAACCGGAAAACCGGTGAACCAGTCCTAGTTTCATGAAACCGCCCAGGTCCATGCATAAGTGAAATTTTAAAATGTTGTTAACAAGATTTGAACTCAAGACCTTTTATTTTCACAGATAACTTAATTACCACTAATCCACCTCTTTACTTATGTTAATTAATGACTATTTATTATAAATATTACATTATTATGCACTATTTTAAAGAAAATGTAAGTTAAAAGGCTTTAACCCTAGTCATTTGTTTTAAAATTTAAGAAGCTTACCATCCATTCACCACATATATATATACATACATACATACATACATACATACATACATACATACATATATATATATATATATTTGAAGCCAATGTAGGCAAATTCATTAAGGAGAACTCAGTGTCACATCCAAAGAGATACAATCAGAAAGAAAATCAGGGCAAACAGACCATGTGTGTACCCTTTGGGCTTTTAAACCATACTTGGCTAGGAGATGCCCAGCATTATTGGCACTCCTTGGAATGTAACACACTTAGAACAGGTTGAAAGAGCTAAGAATGGCTCTGCAATCGGCAATTAGATGCTGGATTTGCCATGGAGGAGAAATGGTATTCTCCAACAGAGCCTGAATTACATTCTTTGCGTCTCCCTCAATTACAACTGAAGTGATGTCCAACTCTAGGCAGAACTTCAAGCCTTCAAAAGACTTCTGGCTTCCAATTCCACAGCCAACATCGGGGAGAATCCAATGTAAAATATATTATATATATACTATTATATATAGTAATTAAGTGCACTAGAAATTGTAAAATATATTTACATTGGATTACATTAGAAATTGTAAAATATATTATATATAGTATTTATATGACCCGTAGTATATATATGTATATGCCACATCATCACGGTTCGACCCCGATCGAACCTCTGACCCACGAACCTCTCTCTCCCTTCTCTGGTTCTATGCCGGGTCCGGTTCTCTGAACATTGGTAATTTGACATTGTTGGATTTGGGTTTATCATGATTTGGTTGACGAGTTATGTTTTTTTTTCCAGATATATGTATTAATATCATGATCAGTTCTATTTGGATAAGCTTGAGAGTATTCTTGATCTCTTATGTGGGGTAACCATTCAGTTTAGACTGAAACGGGATGGGACTATGATAGAATGATAGTGCATCGGGTTATTATTACAACCAAGCAACTGGCTGTTGCTGTTAACATGAATCAAACTCTGGCTTGTACCATTTGGATACTCTAGGTATTAATTACTTCACTATTCCTTTAGGTAGAAAAGGTAACATGGTCAAAGATAAAACAATGAGAAGGAAGGTTTGGAACTCTGGATCCATGTAACTTCTCTAGTAGGTAGTCAATGACTTATACCTGATCAAAATTATAAAAAAGAACGGGAATACCAATGCTTAAGACAATTATCAACTATATAACTATGCGCTGATTTTAAGAAACAATCAGAAATTATAACAGAAACAAAGTGAGTGAAATACAAAGGCCTCATTTAAGCAAAACAACAGTCTCATCAAAAAGAAAAAAGAAAATAAGAAGAAAAATAAAATAACAGTTTCCTCTAACACTTAAAAGCATAGAAGGAATAGGATGCCAATACCTGGGATGATTGCCAACACTCAGAAGTGAAGCTAGAGGTGTTTGCTTAAATAACTGCAAGTCAAACAGCATTGATTCAAGTTCATATTAAACGAACATTTTTGGAGGAAACAGAGATTTAAATAACGTGAAAATGAAACCTTCAAAGCTTCAATTTGTTCAAAAATGAAACCTACAATTTTTTTTCTGAAGCAGAGAAATTCATATTTCACAAGGTTAGGGTTAGGATTCTGACCTCCTGCTGCTGCGGGCAGTGTGAGAACGCCAGTGAGAGGGGAGAGAGAGAGAGAGAAAGAGAGAGAGAGGAACGAGCCGGCGGCGGTTGCAGCGGCGTTCTCAGTGGAAGAACGGAGAGAGAGGCAGGGAGAGAGAACGACGAGAGGAGTTGGGAAGCATGTAGACAAAAATCCTTTTGGACTCCGTTAAGCTGGATTTTAAAGAGTCAAGTTGACGTGGCATATTCCTATTCGTGGGTGCGGAGAAATTTTTGCATCATTTGTTTAACAAAATTCAAAACCATGCATCATGCATTAAAAAAGAAAAAAGAAAATAAAACTAGACAATTTGTCTGTCAGGCAATCAAAAGTTCAAAACCATCAAAAATAGGGTTTCCATCAGTGCGTTATCACTAGTTCAACGGTCCAGATCAATGACAATTTAATACAGTTATCTTGATGTAGTCTAATTAACATTTTTTCTAGCTTTTTTTGGAATATGGATTCTTTTTTCTGATAATGGATTAAGCATAGTGCTATGCTGCTCCCATAAAGACCGCCAACCCGAGTGAAGGTGGGATTCGATCGTAAGTTTCCGTTGGAAAAGTTAGCAGCACGTTTTTTTATTTTTTGGGGAAATTCCCAATAGGTTTTTCTTTTGGGGGAAATTCTCAATTATTACCTGGGGCTTAGTGTCATTTTGGTCCTCAAACTTTTAAATTCGACAATATCTAAACTTTCAAAATGTGTCAATCACATATCAAACATTAACTAGCTATTAATTAGCCATTAAGTGGCATTTAAAAAAAAAACGCAAATGCTCTTTGAGTATCATCTAATTTTTTTTATAAACCATCAAAACATTGACAAAAAAATTAACAGTCCCAAATCCTTACCTCTTCTATTCAACAAAGTTGGGGTCATGTCTCAGTGGGCATTTTGGTGATCCTAACTTTCTTGAATAAAAGATGCAAGGATTTGAGACTATTAAATTTTTATCAATGTTTGAATGGTTTATGAAGAAAATTAGATGACACTCGAAAGGTATTTATGTCTTTTCCAAATGCTACTTAACGGTTGGTTAACCGCTAGTTGACAGTAGGTATTGGATTGACACGTGACACTAAATTGTTGCATTTTAAAGTTTAGGGACCAAATTGACACTAGGCCCAAAGTATAGGGTACTAATTAGGAATTTTCCTTTTTTTTAGACACATTCGGAATATGGAAGGTAGTGAATCAAGTTTCAGATTTTGTCTCTCTCTCTCTCTCTCTCTCTCTCTATCTATCTATCTATATATATTTCTCAATGTATTCCATAGGACATCTACACACTTCAAACCTAAAATTTCGTCTTACAGCATCGCTAAAGCTATGGGTGCAAATGGATCAGATCATGATCCAATCCAATATGATCCGAGATTCAATCCTATTTTGGTCGAATTCTAATCACCCTATTCGATCTGAGAAGATACGATCCAATATATTATATATTTATAAATATAAATATATATATATATAATACATATATATATGTTATTTATTTATTTATAAATATATTTTTTATATTATATTTTTATAAATTTTGATATATTATTTATTTTTTATAAAAAAATGTATATATATATATATGAAAATAATTAAAAATTACTTGTATTTTTTTTACTTTATTTAAATTAGTATCTTTTTATTTTTTCTTTTAACAATTCATTAAATTGTAAAGAAAATAAGTCGAATTGGATCTGATCCAAATATTCGACTTACTAATAGGATTCAAATTCAAATCGAGTCCTATCAGATCCGACATGAACAATGATTACTTTAATGCTTTCCCTAATTTCTCAGTATCTCAAATAGACCTAAGGATACATGAAGCCTTGACCTTAAGACTACAGACCTAGGGATATATGAAACCAATATCAGAGAATGTAGCATTAGTCTATAGGGTATATTTTAAGACTATGAATACCATCTGTCCCAATACTAGTATCACCGGAACAAGGGGAGTAACTACTATTTGTTATTGCTTTATTTAAATTAGTATATTTTGTTTTCTTTTAACAAATTATTAATTTTTAAATAAAACAAGTTGGATCGGATTTGATCCGAAGATTCAACTTACTGATATGATTCGAATTCAAATAGAGTATTATCAGATCATATCGGATCTAACATGAACAGTGTCGGATCAAATTCGAATATAGCCTTATTCAAATATGATTCAATCGTTTACATCCCTAACTAAAGCTGATCTATGTAAAAAACATACAAGTATGAAAATATTCCTAATGCACGGTTCTAAAAAAGGTTATGCGAACGGTGTGAGCACGAAGTTGATTTCTTCATCCTAGACCTAAATCAAATTGAACCAAAGCTAATTTTCCACTTAATCCTATTCACCTTACATCCCTAATAAGAAATAGTAGCATAAAAGACCATTCATCATTGAGTTTTTAAATGGCAAAGGCTAACAAGTGGTTGAATGAAAAATTATTATATTGTCTCTTAATGAATTTATCTATATACTAATAAGCTCTATACTAAAATAGAGCTTGCCATGTTAATAGTCCTCTTCTTGCTTCATTACCCAAACTTAGCAATTCCATATGGGGTGCAAGATTCCCTCTAGAAGCACTAAAAGTTGCCACCTAACATGGCTTACCTCCTTTTTTCCTCTCCTTTTTAATAGGAAACTAACTATCCCCCATTCAGACACATACACACACACCCACACTATCTCTATCTATCTATCTATCTATATATATATATATATATATATATATACTAGTAATTAAGTACATGCGTTGCACATGAGAAATTTGTATTCATATTAATTACTTGAATTTTAGATATATCATAGTTAAGATGGAAATTAAAAATAAAAAAAGATAACAATATGATTAAAAATAAAGTTAAATATTTATTATTGAATTATGACATCATGTGTGTGTTTTTTTTTAAGTTGGATCATTGACCCACCATCTAAATAAGAAATAGCATTGCTTTTGGATTAGTTTTAAATTAGGGAGAATTATAGTCGGAGCCAACTATGCATTTAAAATTTGGTTACAAGTTGGTCCATAAACCAACAAAACTCTAACAAATGGCTTTACATTTCAAGTTATAAAAACCCTCGCCATGTCATCGGAGGGTTATGTGGATTTTGCCAACATGGGACTCTTAATCCATATTGGACACAATAAAAAGCTTATGCTGAAATTGCCATCTAATGTTGGGTGATTGGAAAAAAAAAGGGTTTTTAGTTTCTCACTCTCTCAATTTCCCTCACAGTCATCTTTATCTGCTCAACGACTATATGATTTGAAAATAAATAAAAAATGTTTTTTGGTTTCTATATTTACGTTCTCTATATCAATTTCTCTCATTCTCTCTCTCTCTACCTATCGTTCTCCCTCGATCTCTCTCATCTTTCTCGGTCGATTTCTCCTTCTCCCTTAATTTCTACCGTTCTCCCTTAGTTTCTATCCTTCTCCCTCTTTCATTTTTTATTTTCTTATTTTCTTACACACTTATATGGTATTAATCAGATCGTATAAAAGAACACGAGACTAACTTGGTATGGTTTAAAAATTATTACACCAAATTGATAAAATTCACAGGAAACTCTTGGCTATGAAATTTACACCAATTGGAGAATGATAGAAATTGAGGAAGAAGGAGATTTTGATAGAGATGATAGTGACAGGGAAGAATGAAAAAAGATTGAGGGAGAACAATAGAGAGAAGTTTTGATTTAGCTACAGATCGAAGCAGAGTGGGAGAGACAGAAGGAGTAGGAGATCAAGAGATGACTGTGAGAGTGAGAGAGAAGGGAGGGAGATCAAGAGATAGAGGGAGTGGGAGAGAAACTGGAAACCTATTTTTGATATAGGTTTTCTATCGTGTCCAACATGGAATAAGAATCCAATGTTGGCAACAACCACATAACCCTCTGATGACATGGCGAGTGTTTTTATAATTTGAAATGTAGAGCCGGTGTTTAGAGTTTGGTTGGTTTCTAGACCAACCTGCAACCTAATTTTAAATGTACAACCCACTTTGACTATAACTTTCCTTTAAATTATATATTTCATTTACATTATATAAAATATTTTTTACTTAGCACACCTAATTTTTGTTTGTCTATGGTATCCTTTTATTCAAACCACTAACCCACCATCTAAAAATAAAAATTGTTTGATTTCTATGTTGACATTAAATTTTGCATTACATTTCCATCATTGATAAAATTATTTCTTATGTATAAAACTTATTTTTGTTCAATATAATGAATGTACAATATTAGAGATGTACCAAATATTTTATTTGTTATAAATATATAACATTAGATATGTCCCAAAATTTTCTCTTATCTATTTTTTTTGTGATTCTTTGTATTTTCTATTATTAAAAATTTTATTATTTGACTCTGACATCATTTAATATCTAGGTACACTACAAGGAAAAGTCCCTAAAACTGCCGCTAGAGGCTTTAATGGCAGTCGACAAACAACCACTAAAACAACTGTCGCTAAAACATTCTAGTGGCAGTTTTCGTGGCAGCTAGTATAAATTTTAAACTGCCACTAGAAGTCTTTTTTAGCGACAGTCAGGAACTTCTTTATATATATATATATATATTTCAAATAACCTTTTTTTTCCTAATTTTCTTCAAATTTCTTGTTCTCTTCTCTATATTCATTTAAATAGAAATAAAATACGAAAATAAATAAACATCAATTACAAATAAAATTAAAAAAAAATTCTCCATTCAAAATATTTGAATCACAAATACATAGTCAGACTTGAATATTTAAAAAAATATCCTTGGGTTTCTACAACTTGATAATTTCATGGCTCATGCAAAGCCAAAAGCTGCTATCATCATCAGAAAGCCTTAGCTTCCTAAAGCCGAACCATGATTTTTCCCTCCGAGACCAAGCTATTGAGCACCTATGCCAGCAGCTCCCATATATAACAATACTCTTTACTATAGGGATCTTCACTCTTCCTACCCAGAAGTGTTAAGATCATACGCCCTCCTGGAACCAACTCCTCTGAGCGTGACACAAGGAATGTCGAAAAGTCTCTTTCAAATTGCTCAAAGTATGCTTTGAAAATGCTCGAAGGGCTTGTTTTCGCCATGTAAATGTTCCCCTTATTATTTTCTAGCCCTTGAGGAACCTGTCATCGATCACCATATCATCAAAATATTACAGACTGAACGTCTAAACTTGTTATAAACAAAAACAATAGTCGACTACCTGAGACGGCCAATGCAAGCTATATGAAGAATGAACGAAGTGAAGACCTCTGGCTTGGGAAGAGCCTACCATAGAAGGAGCCTATTAAGAAGACAAGAACCCATGGAAATAAATATAACATTTCTGATGAAGCAAAACAGCCACATTCAAACAATTCTAATTAAAGAAATGCAAGAAAGAATAGCATAAAAATCAGAAGAAAGGAAAAAGAGGGAAAATAAAATTTACCAGAGCATCACACCAGATGAAAGAGAGAGCTTCACCACAGGCCAAAGTTCAGAGAGTGCACTTTTGGAGAATCCCCTCCATGTCTGAGGGCACCAACCCCCAAAAACATAGAACAATCCTCCTATGACCATGGACCAAGTAGAGATTATCATTGCACCCATAGCACCGGGTATTTCCAAGTTCAATTTGTACATAAAAAGCCTGAGAATTCCCGCACTGAGTGCAGTAGCTGATGAAACCATAATACCTGTCAAGAATAGAAGAGCATCATGCAGCATTGCCTCAAATCCATGTATTTCTCTTTGTTTATGTAAATATAGTCTTACCTATTTTTAGGAAGCTTTCCACGATTTACTTGGAGCATGACCCCGAAGACAGGTCCATGGTATGAATAGTATGAGAAAAGTGGTGAGACACAGTATCCTAAAACAGCAGCATCCCTTAGGGTCTGGTTCTTTTCTTAACATTAAAAGAAAATATTAGAATAAAGAGAGAAATTACAAGAGATGTGAGTATCAAGGGAACATGAGAAGTGTGTTACAAAAAGTTCCTTCACTTCAAAGATATATTCTGCTTTGGCCTTTGGGACCTTTTTAGGGTCGGCGTAGGACAGAGTTAGGGTCGGGATGGGACTGGATTTTTATATACTATAATAGCATTCCATGGCCAAGATCAAAGTCATCAGACAATAATGCACTGTTGTTATTATTATTATTAGGAGTGGAAATCAATTTCTAATTCCCAATTGATTCAACTTTTGTGATTCACCAATATCAATTAGCATTCCAAACCTGTATAGGCATAAATATTTTTCTAGTATATTTGATGATCTCCATGAGACAATGACATTTTTTTTCATAGATTCATGAGACAATAACATCCAGCTGCGTACTGAAACAGTGAAATTCAGAAATTTCTGTTTGGTGAATAGTTTATCCCAACCTTTCCACATGGTATGCTAACATAATCATTTAAAAGAGTCAAGATCTATAAAGTACATCAAACTATAGGAGTAGTTAATCATGTCAATGGCTTAGAAAAATAAACAAAGAAAACGTAGAGGCTATAACAGATATCTCAAGTTATTTCAACTAAAAAATCAGCAGATCTACATCAGAAGATTTAGAGCTGAATAGAGTCTAAGCAAGAACCAAAAGCATCGAACAACAGATCTAAAAATTCACATGTACGCTGCTTAAATATCAGAACTAAAACAAACATTCTTTAACTTCCTACAAGTGAAAGTATCAAATGAACGACACAAACCCTAAATCTATATGTTCAGGAAATGAGCTCGATTCTATCATGCAAAGAAAACAAACAGTAAATTGGAAAAAAAAATCAAAATACTGATAAAGGTTGGAAAAGGCAAATGACCGGCGATCAGGGCCAAACCAGAGGTAAAAAAAAAAAAAAACAAAAAAACAAAACAATAGAAATAAAACCTAGAATGCATATATAAAACCTCAAGTTAGACTTTACCTAGAAATAAAACCTATAATTCCAATCCGAGAAGAAGGCCTGAAGAAGCATCGACTATTTTGACAGAGACATCACTCCCTTAACAGAGCAAGAGAGAGAGCGAGAGAGGGACAACTGAGAGAGAGAGCGCGCGCGAGAGAGGGGCGACTGTGAGAGAAAGGGGGAGAGAGAGAGACATAGAGAGCACAAGAGAGAAAGCAATAGATGACTGAGCGAGAGTGGAGAGAAATGACGGGGAGAGGCGTGACGAAGGCAAAATGAAACTTGCGCCTTTTTATATAGCGGCAAGGTCAAATTGTTTGTCCACCACCGGGGGAGGGAAGAAAATGGTTTTGTTTTTAAATTACTTTTCAAAATATTTATTTTTATAATATTAAAATTAATATTGTGGATTTAATTACAAGAATTTAATAATGAGAAAAATATATTTTAAATATAGGATTTAATGAGAGAGAATAGGAAAATATTTTTTTTTCCAATTGGTTTTAAATTTTACATTCCATTTTCATCATTAATAAAAACATTTACTATTTAACATACTTATTATTATTTAATATTTATGTTAAAAATGTTCCCATTTTTTTTTAATTTTTAATTTTTTAATTTTATTATTTAATCGTAGCAACATGGATTAACTCATTTGACCCAAAATGATTTAATTTCTTACCACCACTTAGATAAAAACACTATTTTTGCTTTGTAGATTTTAAAGATATAAGCTTTTATGTTATTGGAATTATTAATTTATTAAGTATGAATTTAATTAATAAAACTTAATGATGAGAATAATAAAAATGACTTAAATATATGATTCAATGAACATGAATGCAAGTTAATAACTTAAACGTTGGATTTAATGAGAGATGATGGAATGCATTAATATCTTTAAATTACCTCTTTTCAAGTCATTTAATATCAATAACCAATTACCCTATTTGCCTTTATTTTTGTATCATTAAATTTAAATATAGAGGGGTAAATATTGTCCTTAGAAAATTCCATAAATATTCTTGAGGCCATTCGTACTTTTTAAAGTAGTATAGATATATCACAAGAGCTTTAAGAAACGCCCTCCAGTCCCCATTGATCTCCATTCCCAAGAGTGTTGACTGGGATGGTTTGTGGTGAGCTCTTCTTTGTCTCTGGTGTCTTGGAGGGTGATCGACTGGTTCCTCCTATTGTAGCCCTTTACAGGGGGGATTAAGGGTTTCTCATACAAAATTATGTACTAACAATATAAATTATGATTTTCCAGATTATTCAAATTAAATGTTATTCAAATAATAGAAATGTAACATTAAAAAAATAAAATATTATTTCAATAACTAAATATCTTAAATAATAAAACACTAAAAATAGCTAAATAATTACACAGAAAAATGTTTAATTATTTAAACATTTCAATAACTAAATATCTTAAATTCAAATAATGAGTATTTTTAAATTTTATATATTGTTTCAATATTTAAATAACTAAGTATTTTAAATAACGAAATATTTAACATAACTATATTTTAAATAGTTAAAATAACAAAATTATGCAATAAAATAAAAATCATAACATAATATCCAAATTAGTAATAATTTAATATTTTCACAAAATTAATAATGAAATTATGTAATAATAGTATAAACTTTAAAATATTTATTAAAACACAAAAAATAATTATAATAGATTTAATAATATTCATATTATTAATAGTTTTATATTTTTACAAAATTAATTACGAAATTATGTACTAACATTATAAATTATGATTTTTCAGATTATTAAAATTAAAAATAACAATGTTATGCAATAAATTAAAAATTTTAAAAAAAATCATAACATAATATTAAAATTAATAATAATTTAAAATTTTTACAAAATTAACATTGAAATTATGCAAAATAGAATAAATTATAATTCTATAGATTATTAAATTCAATTAATAATTAAAATTATAATGTTTAAATAAGGATACTATTTAAATAACTAAATAATATTATAAATAACCAATTTCACTTACATCAATTAATAATTCTAGAAGAATAGCTTTCAAAAACTAATATTCATTAATAATGATTCTAAAATCTTAATCTATATTTATTATATATTTAATATAATATAATTAATATTTATTGTATTTTCAATAATTATTTATAGTTTTCTTATGAATATATATAGTTATGTATAAATCTATATTTGTTTTGTTATTTAATAAATTTTTTTTAATAATTATTGGATATTAAGCTAATGTTATTTAACTTTTTAAATTTAATTTATTATACTTATTGTATTTTTGAGATTGCAATATTTATTGACTAACTTAATATATTTTTTAGTATTTTTGTAATTATTTTATTTTATTAGTTATTTGTTTTATTTTCATTATCAATATATTTTCAATTATTGTGCATTTTTACTATAAATTTTTAATAATTATTGGATATTAAACTAATTTTATTTATTAGAGATTAAAATATTAATTTAGATGAAATTAGAAGTGTTGATCACGACCTGGTTTAGTTTGTTTGTAGGCTATTTGGCCAACCAAATCGACATGGTTAGGTTGGGGAGTTGGTTACCCAAAATCTACTGACCATTAGTGAAAATCAACTAAATCGGGTTATATTGGTTTGGGTTGATTTTCGGTTTGCTCAATTGGTTTAAAAGATTACAATAAAAACAATTTTAAATTTAAAAAATTACGTTAACATTATTAAAAAACAAATTTATAATATAAAATATCTGAGATTAAGAAATATGGGAATTCCCCACTTTCCCGTATTAAAAAATTATATTTAAAATATAAAAATATTAATATATATATATGATTGGGTCATTCGATTTTAGTCAATTTACAAATGGCCATAGCGAAACTGATCCCAATTTCAACCAGAAATATTAGAAATTGAGCAATTCGGGTTGAACTGGTTGGTTACATTAGTTCGATGAATAAACTTAGCATAAATAAATTATTGTTATTTTTGTATTGTAAAAAATTATTAAAAATATTATAAAATATAAATAATTAACCATCATTTTAAAAGTTAGAAATATAAAACAATTGTATACTCTTATGTGTTTTATTGTTTAACTATACTTAACAAATCCCATACATCGCACGGGTCCTGCTAATAACTATTTATAACAAACATAAGAAAAGAAAGAGGGATTTGGATAGATGAATATCACACGCTATACTTGGATTTGGAAATACACCAGGCTGCACCCCTTTCTGAGGGCCAACCAGACTTATGTTAGCGACTTGCATTTCCGTTTTGTGCTGGTCATCAGAACTTTGAGAAACGCCCTCCAATCCCCACTGATCTCCATTCCTAAGGGTGTTGACTGAGATGGTTTGTGATGAGCTCTTCTTTGTCTCCGGCTTCTTGGAGGGTGATCGACTGGTTTCTCCTACTGTAGCCCCTTTACAGGGGGGATTAAGGGTGGAGCCTCCGTCCCTTTTAATGGGGCTGATATCCATAGGAGAGCTGACACGCTGGACTTCCAGGCGTGAAAACCTTACTCTTGATGAGATCGGATCTGATGCCTTACAAGCGCTTCACACGTAGAACATCTCCCGCACTTATTAATTATTATTCATGCGAGATGTTTTCAATGCAGAGTGGATGCGCATATGAGGCGCCCATTTGTGAGGAGCAGATCCCGTCTCACTCTGACGCCTCTGAACCCACCTCCTTTTGCAACTTAATCGGGCTGTGCAAGTTTTTGGGCACAAAGCCAAGGTCCAAAGGAACACGGGCCTGGCCCTTGGGATTCATTCTATGGCAGAGATTTACCTTTCTTCCGGAGGTCCTTCTCAGTGTATACTTAGTGAAGCACCTGACTTCTTCATGACCTAAAATCCGCAAAAAAAAAAAAAAAAAATAGAAAATAGGAAGTTTCTCATACTGAAAATCAAACCAAGTTCGACCACGTAAACGAATCACCCGAATTGGAAAAAAAAGTCGAATGAATAAAGGTATTGAACTGACTGCAGACTGACTTTCCGACTCAGTTGACAGCTTGATGTTGCCTGGGAAGGACTTAAAATGTTGAACTGCTTCTCATTAATTGGGAGATACGTAGATTGTTTGCTATTAGGGCAAATAAGACGTCCACACTAAATTCTCTTGAGGTCTACTCTTTTTTTTTTTTAATACATGTGCAAGATAAGAAAAACTAGAGCTAACAATGAAGGCTCTTGTCCGCTGATCAGTGAAGAAGAGCTATTATATCTAAGGTCCCAGGGGAAAGAAAGGTTGAAGAAACCATCTCTTTCATGTCCTTTAGCCAGCCAATCTAGAGCAATGTTGTCTTCGCAAGTACTTTGAGGTCTAGGTTTAAAATGGTTAGTTAGGAGCTCAGATTTCCCACAAACAAAAATTCTGAGTACATGGCATTCATAGCATTCAATTGCATATTACTAATATCTCCTATACATTATGCTTTTTTTAGGTAAAGTCCTATACATTATGTTCATATGAATATGTTTCTTTTTTCTTTAAGAAACATCATGAATTACACAAGGTGAGGGTAGCTTGGCCCCAAGAATCACTAGCACAGGTAAACAATAAATCCTTAGGGAGGGAGATAGTACAAAAGTTGAGGGGGTTGGGGGAAGGCAAGAGAGCTTGATGCGCCATCTAATCCTCAACTTGATTAGCTTCCTTGTAGGTGTGCGAGTAAGATACTCTGTGGTCCAAGCAGCCAGCCAGCTTTGAATAGTCCTCAACCATGGTCATCAATTTCCATGAGATGTCGACTTTGTTTTTAAGCACAAAATCACCAATAACGAGTCTCCTTTCATGCGGATGGGAAGATTTATATAGTTAAGGGCTGTGTTGTAAATAGGGCTGTTCATAAGAAGATCCAATCTAACCAAACCGATTAATTCGAATCGACCCAATCCGAATTGGTCGAGTTTTCTTCAGCACCGGTCGGTGTCGGGTTGTAAAAAATTATAAATTGATGGTTCGGGTCGGTTTCAGTTTTCGAACCGAACCAACTTAGTAGTTAATAGTTAGTTCCTAGTTAGTATTTACAATCTACATAGTTCCTACTTAACTAAGTTGTCTCTATCCTAGTTACAACCTAGCTTAATTTCTATTATTCTAGTTAGGAATGACATTAATGGCAAGTATTGTAAGACAACTAGAAAATGAAATTTTTTGGAAAAGTTTAAAGAAAAGAATCAAATGATCTTAGTTTTTATAGTCATTTACACCAAATAGGCAACCAATTACAATTAGAATTAGGTGTCCTTTTTTACTTAGATTAGAAGGTTTCTTGAAATATACAAATTTCAGTCTTCTTTCTCTAATACAGTTTGACTTTTTATTTTCTTAATAACTTCTATTCTAACTTGGTCCGCCCCCTACCAATTTTAGTCTTCATTCTCTAATAGAATTATGTGTCATTTTTTACATCAAATTTCAGTCTTCTTTCTCTAATCTACCAATTTATTACCATGGTTGAAGTTAGAGCTGAAATTGATCCAAACCAACCCAACCCGACTCAAACCGACTAAGTCTGGTTTGCTTAACACAGAGTTGATTTCGGTTTCAATTTCGGATAACCCGACCAAGCCGGGTCAATTAAAAAAATCTCAATAAACCGATCCAACCCGACTCATGAACAACCCTAGTTCTAAATTTCCCAAACAACCCAAGCTTCGACCACATTGATTGTAGAAATACCAATAAAGTATGCTTTAGCCTCAAGAACATTTTTGACATGATTTCTAGCAATGCACCTAAGTGCACATTCTCCTTTGTCATTTTTGGAGGCACCAAAATTAATTTTGATACACTTTTCTCTTGGAGCCTTTCAGAAAATAGGTTTCCATGTTTTTGGGTTATTGATGCTCATGGAGTTTTCATTTCCCTTGCTGGAATTGGCATGATGAGATAACGCTCTATCTATTATGATCGTTGGGTGGAAACTTCGGTCATTGAAGACTGTCATTTTTATTTTTCCAAATGTGCCATAAAATGAAACAACATTTCTCAAGAACCAAAAGGACCAAAGGCTCATTCTTATTAGCAAAATCGGTCCACCATTCCAAAATTGAGGAGTCATTGTCATTTGGCCCTTTGCAAATGAGATCCATAATTCTCCAAATATGTTTTATATACGGGTAATTTTTCAAATTCATTACAGAAACAAGCACCCATCATCCTCAAAAAAACTTTTGAAGGCAACCTGGAATTTAGCAATAAATAAACAAAAGTTTTGATTTTTGGGGGCAACTTGAGACCCCATATTTTACTAAGATGAGGGTTAGGGCCGACCCACCCTTTTATGCATAATAATAGATTCTTTATAAGCAGATTTGACATTAAATAGACCCTTAGGATTTAATCTTCAAATCATTTTGTCATCACTTTGGTTTGAAGGAATGAAAATCAATATAATCTTATTCCAAGTTTGATTGGAACCTAATTTACAAATTTTATTCTCCTCCCAAGTGTTTCTTTCGTGAATTATGACTTTACTCACAGACAAATCACTTTGCTCATTTGGTTCCACTGAGGGGTTACTATTCATCTTTTCCTCGAGAGGTCTCAAATAAAGCCAATTGTCCTTCCAATGTTTTTTCCATCTCCAACAATCCAACCCGTGCCCCTCTTAAGGTCTCTGGAATTCAAGATTCCTCTTCAAGTCCAAGAGATGCCCTTATTGGGCTTGGAGCTCCAAAGGGAACCTTTTCTAAGGTATTTGTGGGAAATCACCTGGACCCATAAGTTCTGTTTCTCATTCAAAAATTTCCAACCAAGCTTAACTGGACATGCCTCGTTGACCCAACGAAGATTTTTGAGGCCCATACCACCTCAATTTAACAAATGAATGGGCTTTTTATCATTATCTTTTGACTAATAGAAACTTTTTTTTTTGGCTTTTGTCAATATCATCAATTACATTGTTTGGGATTTTAAAAGTGGAGGCATGGAGCTAATAGTAAAGGATAGTAACAAGAGAAAGGGTCTTTCTTTTCCATCCTAAGAGTTAGTTATTAACACTCTCGTCGAGCTTGTTAAAAGGGTCTTTTGACACTCTTCCATTTAAAACGAGCACCCCAAGATATGTGCTATCTTTATTCTCTAGGGGAATTCTAGTCATCCTTGTTAGCATTTTCTGGAATCTTGGAGGGATGCTAATTGAGAGTTTCAGGGCTGATTTAGCAAAATTAAGGCTTTGGTTTGAAGCTTTAGTGGAATTAGTGAGAATTTCCTTGATTTTCACACACAGGTAGGAATGGTAGCTTTTGCAAAAATCAAACAATCATCTGAAAACTACAAAATAGGAATGCATGGACCTCCCTTGGAGGCTCTAAACCTCTTGGGTTTATTGGATTCATCCATGAGTTTTCTAGATAAATCTTCAACACATAAGACAAAATTATAGGGTGAGAGAGGATCACCTTGTTTGATACCTCTAGAGGGTTCAAATTTTTTAGAGGGTGAGCCATTAATTAGAATTTTATAAGAGACCGGTTTAATACATGTCATTGTCCAATGAACGCCCATTCTAACTTATCATAGGCCTTTTCCATGTCCACTTTACAAGCCACAACACTCGAATTACCCTTTTTCTTTTTCATAGTGTGAAATAGTTCATGGGCGATAATGATGTTATCATTAATTTGCCTTTTTGTAACAAAAACACTATGAAAAGGGGAGATAATTGACTCAAGGATTGGCTTTAATCTATTGACCATAATTTTAGCAATGATCTTGTAAATAACATTGTAGAGACTTATTGGTCTAAAGTTGTTCACTGTTTTTGTTTATATATATAATCTATTGACCATAATTTTCGAAATGTCGTTGATTCAAACAGTCAAACCATGGACTTGAGAATTATTGAGGCAATCAATTCCATTTTACCCCAGATCCAATCATTGGCCAAAAACCATTGAATCAGTCAATGATCCGATGATTCATTTAACAATTTTAGTCATTTTTTTATTTTAATTTTTTGATTCTTTTATTAGAACTTGCTGTCCATTCAAACCAAAGGGAGTAATTATTAACCGAAAAACTGAACGATTCCGGTTCCGGATCGTTTTTTAAAAGATTGTTTGAAGAATTGATGCCGAATCCATTTGCGTGGACAGTACCGCTCAGTGATTGAAGAATAAAATGTTAAGTCATGCGGGGTTGGTAAAGTCAGCTTTTTTTCTGGGTTATGATATGATATGAAAAGAACCGCGTAGGAACGAATGCTATTTGACGGTGAAATTATTAGATAGGCCTAAGCTTAAGGGCGATGTGTCTTCGGTAATTGGGGTGACGGATCTGCTCTTCACACTCGGGCGCCTAACATGCACATCCACCGTGCATTAATAACATCTCGCGTGAATAATAACTTAAATCCTGTGAGGAGCAGATCTGGTCTCAGGAGTTGGGTGCGAGCGGGGCGCTGGGAAGCCCGGGAATCGCTCGGAAACCAACCGACCAAGCGAAGCGTCGAAGCGAGAGCGAACGTAAGAGCCTTAAGAGGCCAGGGGAGAGTGATAGTCCAAGAGATCAAGACCCTTCCGTTATTTTTCCTCTTTCTTCTTAGAATTGAAATGTCGAAAACACCCTCCGCTGTTTGTTACACCTCCACCACAGCCACCGCTTTATTTTTCGCGTTGACGTCTAGAGTAGGAGAGATTGAACATTGAAAATGAAATCCACAACCGGTAAACGAATATAACGAATTTTTAAGTTTCATTTCATTTCAGTACGCGTGAACGGTTATGATCAGTTGATAGGGTGGGCCATATCTCAAAAATACAACAATTGCGATCAGTAACTACTGTGGGTTCGATTCGGACCCTCTAAACCCGTTTATTAACGGATTCGGTTGGGTTCGCTCCATTGACTATTTATTATTGTTTTCACGGCGCGCTCCCACAAAACGAAACTAATAGAAAAAGACCTAACTCACTGTCATACTGCAATTTCAATTTGTCAATCGGTGTGGCAACGCCGTAATTTCAGTGACTACAATGGTTAATTGGGTAATTACAGAAGAAATTTCAGTTCATAACAGACAGCTGCAAGGAAAGGGAAAACAACCTCCCTTTCTTCGGCCTGGTCTAAACCGAAAACGCCCATGGAGGAAGCCGAGGTAAAAAACCTAACCACCAAACATCTATCTCAACCACCACCACTACCATCGCCGGCGCTTCCACCACCAGCACTACCACAACTGTCATCTGTTTGTATTAGAAAAAATTGTTTCTCTTTTGAGTTTCTTCAACTGTTTCGTGACTATTCTTAGTTTCAGTAAATTGTGGTTTGGGGGGGGGGGTTCCTTTACAAATGGTTTGTTCTAGACACTTGTCCTCTGGTTGTTATTCTCTATTCGGTATTTGGTTGCAGAAAATGGTGGCCTTGAAGAAGGCTTATGCTGATATAATCCTCAATACAGCTAAAGAGGCGGCCGCCAGGATTATGGTATCGGAGCGCAAGGCCCTTCAATTCCAGCAGGACCTTTTTGCCGCTAAGGAAGAGGCGCTTAATATGCTACTTCGACTTAAACAACTCATGGATTCTAAGGTAATTTGTTTCTCTGCGTATGGATGAGTAAAAAGTTCTGTTTTTTATTCGCTCCTTGATTGTGGTTGCGGTTCTCAGTCTTCCGTTTGTGGCTGTATGGGTGTATTATGCGGTGTTAATTTCTCTTGCTTCTTTATTTAGTTTGATAAATGGGATTGGAGTGAAATGCCGTTCAGTGATGAAATTTTTGTTTTACGGTTGATAGGTTGGACTATTTCTACTAAAGTTTGTTATCTAGATCAGTTATAGGTTATTGATTATTCACCCCAGAAGCGAATCGGTATTATTCAGTGTAGTAATTGTTTTGGGAAATTTAATATCACCTACTTTTCAAAGGTTGACCAACTCTTGGAATTGGGTTCATATATAGGAATAGAATAATGCCATGCTGAAGGTTTTCTTGTCTCATGGGTATCATCAATATTGCTGGAAGCAAAGCTGCATACAAGATTTGTATCTTGTCTCTTTTCTTTTTATATAACTTTGTTTGTTCATTGTTTAAATTAGGTTTTTCTATATACAACTTAGGCCCTGTGATAAGATGCTGAACCTGGCACAGCATGTTTAATTTGAACTCCAGGGCAATTCATAATATGCTAGTTCAAATGACACAGCTAGATTATTCATACATATGGAAATGGATATGTTCCTATTTTGTATTTGAGATTCCATGCTTTATCCTTTCTCTTTATTTACTAGTGACTTGAATCTGATGATTAACATCCCTTGGTTATGTTGCTGACATGGTTTTTATTACATTTATAGCTTAAGTTTATTATGAAGATCTTTGGAATTCATCCCAATTTCAACAAGTCTACAGTGCCAAGTTTTGGCAATTACCAATGACATGGATGACAGGTGGTTCTCCTTTACATTTTGGGCTTGCACCAAATTAATCCAAATGTAAACCTTCCCATTAACTTTTTTATGGGAGAAATAAGTGTTATGATATCCAATTACTTTGTTGTCTTAACAAATAGTTGATTAGTTTATTGATGCAATTGTGATAGAAGAATTCAATGACTTGGAGGAAGCTAGAGGTCTTCTAGATCTAGCTACTGAACTTGAAATCAGGACTTGGTATTTTGATGTTAGGGATATTTTATGAGTTTGGAAATTGTTTTACCTTTTAAACCATAATATGTACTACTAATTTTCGCAATCTCATATTATGGTTAGGTAATGTGTATCTTAATATGCTATTATGATTTATGACACAGTATTTAATGGACATATCCAATTAATGCTCACATTGCAGAGGGATGTTGTTTGTCTGTTCCTTTCTTTCTTGTATGTATTTCATGCATTATACCTGTTAGACATTAATAAATACCCTTTGCCTCTCTTATTATTGCCTATTATTCTGGAAGCTTGTAATTGTTGATTGATCAGAAACTAAAGTTTGGAAAGCTAACCTGGTCATTGTTTTTTATGATTTACATCCATCCTGCATCAATGGCATTTTTGGTGATGTTACAATGTATTTGATTCTAAAAATGAAAGAATATAAAACCTTGTTCTTTGTATTAGAGTTCTTTTTTTTTTCTTTTTGATCAGTAACAATAAAATTTATTACATGATGAAAAAAATTACGTTACGGATTTTGTGCCTTTGAACCCCATTACAAATGTTAGCCTCAGCTAATCCCCTTTACATTTCCTCAGTTTGGAATTGTGCCTCAATACGTATTACTTCTAAAAACCCCAACTTTTGCTAGTATGTTGACTAGGTGATTAACTGATCTTGGACCCCCTTTGAGCTGAGCTTCAGTTTCTGTAGATAATTTTAGTATCCTCACTATGTTCCTGTACTTCCAAGATCCCGCTTCCATGCTCTTTACCCAAGCAATTACAACATTAGAGTTTCCTTCAATTTGCATTCCTTTGTATCCAAGTGACTCTGCCAACCTAAGACCATGTGACACTGCCAATAATTATGCTCTAATTGAGTCTCCACTCCCTGTTGCTCCTGAATAGATTGCCTGAATATGTCCTTCCAATTCCTAAAAGCTCTTCCAACCCTGGATGGCCCTAGATTTTCTAAGATAGTTTGAAATTCCATTAATTTGTGTCCATGTTTCTCTCATTTTGTAAGAATTTGGTATAAAATTTGAGAACATACTAGTGATTGTAAGGTTACAAGTAGGCTGTAACTCAAGAAAAAAACACTAATCATTACTAGATTTTCCTATATTGTAATTGTTCATTTTATAGGAACTCTTTAGAAGGTTCAATTGTTACTCTAGGACTTTTTGGAAAGGGCATAAGTGAAATTGGAGTGCATTTGGATTCTTATCTTCTCTCCTTGAAGTTGGAAGTTAGAGTAGGACTTCTCTTCTTAAAAAGAATGAATATGCTACTGAAGCTCTGGCAGAGTTCCCTGTTAGTTATTTGATAAAAGGAAGTTTACTTGATAAGAAAATGATTCATTAAATATACAAATTTCATAGTGTGTTTGGAGCCCTTTTCTCAAAGGTTGGAACACGTCTAAATAATGCATACTTGTACATCTATAATGTGGGTTGCTATTCATCAAAAAATGTGGGTTGCTGGGAATATGTTTGGCATAATGGAGGTTGCTTGTCATATAGATTCTGATTGAGTCATTTGGAATTTATCAGAGTAAACTCTTTCAAATTAGACTGAGATTTGATCTGCCTTGGGAAATATGTTTTCTTAATTTTTGCCCACTTGACATAGGAGCTGCATCTAAAGACTTATATGACATTTGGTTGGGCTTAAAGTGATCAAATGATGTCTTCATTGCCTTGAAAATAGTAGTTCGTGAATTAGAAAGACTTCCAGGTTTTATAATGGAAGCTCAAAACAAGAAATCAGAAAAAAGCTTCAATTGAAGCTTCTTGTTTTTGGTTTATTTTTTTGTTTTTTTTGTTTTTTTCAGTTTCAGGCTTTCAGCTTCTACTTAGCTATAGCTTTCAAAGAACATCTTACCACTGGAGGGAGGATTCATTAAACTCAATATTGATCAAAGCAGTTTAGGGATCTGTGAATGTCTGGAATAGGAGGGGTGCTTAGGGATGGTGAGGGACAAAGAATTGCTTTGTACTCAATCCCGATTGGAGTGGGTGATTCTCTAAGGGCTGAAGTTATGGCTGTGCTAGAGGGAGTATACGAAGGGCAAGGAATTTGAATATCAGAAAGACAGTCATCAAAGGAGACTCTAAATTGGTAGTGGGCTGGTTACAAAATGAGAAGGCAAATATGTGGAGTTACAGAAAGAGAGAAAGAAATTTGCATGAAATATTTGCATGTTCTATATTAATAAAATTCATGGTTATTGATCCCAAAAAAATCTTACCAAACCATAAAAGATCTATCTTAGGCTTTAAAGTTTTTGAAAGCCTAGCCACACCTAACAGAACAGGGCCAAAGTCTTTGTTTCTTTATCTCTCTTCGAAATGCTCCACCTGTATCTTTTTCATTAATTAATGAAATCTTCTGGTTATTGATAAAAAAGATAATTGATCTATATTAGTTAGTTTACATCCATGGAGAGCCATTATTTGCTGAATATTGTTCTTCTCTTGCTCTGAATAATCAGTTGCATCAATATTTGCTAGGAAACTGTGTCTCCTTGGGAAAGTACTCGGGTTTCTTGCTTCTCATTTCTTGTGTTGGTATTTTTCCCCTTTTACTGTGTAAAGAATGTGGTAGAATGGAGTAATCCTTGGTTCTTTTATCACATGTTTGTTTCTTGCACCATGGTAATTATCATTAGATTGTTTCTAGAATTAGTTTAGTCTAAAATAGATGTTTTCTTCATCTACTTCTTATGCCATTTCTGGCATCGTTTTGGATGAATAGACTGTGAATCCCAACGAAAATAGTTTTTTACCAAATTTATGTCAGTAGGTGGTGAACCAGGTGGAAGAAAAAAAGGGCAGTAAGGATCTTATTACTAGTGTGTGTGTGTGTATTCTTACTTAGATGGCAGTGAAGTAGAGAGTTGGATAATGATGCAAATTAACTTCATTTTCGGTGCTGCTGCTGCTGCTGCATAGCCTCTCTGTTACTGTTTTTGAAGACAGAGAGATAACGCAAGAAGATGGGTGTCTTCTAAATGCAGCAAAAAACCTTGTTCTTATGTAGGTTAGAGGGGACCACATTGGTTTTTGCTCTTTAGGTCCTTTCAGATAATAAGCAATGTGCTACGTGTTTGGTGTCTTGCATTAAAATAGCATCAATGAGGCATTGGACAATTGCTGGCTTGGCAGTCATGATGTTGGTGTAGTGCCTAAAATTTTAAGATATGGGATTAGTACATGCTGATGTTTTCACTCATGGCAACATTTCAGTTGGTTGCTTGATTGAGATGGATAAATGGACAGAAACAAGATAGTGTCACCTACAGCAGCAGTATAAATTTACATGTTCCATAGTTCTACATATATTGCACGTATTGTCTGATCTCTGGGTAGATATGAATGCTGTCTGCAATTCCCTGCCCAGCTGTAATGCTTCTCCTATGATATGCCTATATGCCCATGAAGCATTGCTGTTGGTTCCGAGTTTAATCTTCTTGGTCCAGTGTAGCTATCTTTCTGGCCTTTCTTGTATCTTTGTTTTTAAACTGTAAACACATGCAAGTGAAGTGTGTCAAGAAGTTTCTAGAAAGGTATTCCATATATACAGGGCTGGTATTCAACTTTTAAACTTATTTATTTCTCTTGAGCATGAATCCATCTTTTACCTGATCTAATCTTTACATCTGATATCAAATACATCATACACCCCCTCTCCAACCCCTGGAAAAAATGATAAAGGAAAAGAAATGGTTGGTGAACAGGCATTGTCTTTTGAAATGTGATTCAGGTTGATGCAGTAATTGCCATAATTGTATCATGCATATCTACATACTGTAGAACTTTTGATGGTTGACAATGTTCTGAATAAACAGATTACAATGTAAACTGCACACATGTTTATCTTAATTTGTCTTAGTTTCATCCATTAATATTTTTCATCAGGAAACATTTTATATTATGCTTTTCTGTCACATTAATCCATTACTGAAAAGTAGATTCAAGGAAGTCTTGTCAAAGATGATAGAAAAAGGAGTAACTTTTAGTATGTTCTTGGAAGTATGGGATGAAGATACATGTCACCTGATAATGGTCGTGTGAGAGGGAGGATTAAGGAGGTCTTTGTTCAATGGGCTTTAACTGTATCTAGTGATGCATAATTTGGTAGTCGAGGGAAGAAGAAATCAGTGTTTTAAAAGGGGTGGGAGGTGTATGCCTGGAGGTGTGCCTCCAGGTGAGGCGCCCCCAAAACACCTTGAGGCGTATGCCTCAGAAGAAAAAGAAAAAAAAAAGGAAAGGAAAAGAAAGGGAAGGGAAAGAAAAAGAAAGAAAGAGAAGAAAAAAGGGAAAAGAAAGAAAAGAAAAGGAAAGGGAAGGAAAGATAAAGGGTAAGAAAGTGGGCTGGGGGTGAAGCCCCTGGACCCCCTTAGCTGGGGGGCAAATGCAGCCAATTTCAACTAGTTCTATGCATTCTTCGTTCTTCTTAATATAAAAGATTTTTAATAAAAATAAAGAAAAATGAGATCCTCCTTCCTCTTCTTCATTCTCATCCCCCTCCTCTTAAGGAGGCTTACGCCTCTTATGTTCTGAACTATGCCTAACGCCTCTAGGTAGTGGAACACCTCACATCATGCCTCCACGTTTTAAAGCATTGGAAGAAATTTGCAGAGCCCACCTTTGTATTTCATCATTTAGAAAACAGACATATAACTCTTTAGAAGGATAGTCATGAGATTTGCTGACTAGGTCATGTTCCTGGATCAAGACATCAAGTATATAATCCAGGTATATCTATGCCCTTTATTATCGCATAGCTGTAGCTAGATGCATGTGTATGCATGAATTTGTACAAAATGCGATGGTGCCCCCATCATGGTCCATGGTCATGCTTAGAAATTAGGACAGATGGTACATATCAGTAAGGTTATTCACTATACTACTATATAGTCTGGTGTGTTGTTCTAGTGTAAAGTGACACATCATTATCATAGATATTTATTTTCAATCACAACCCTTGATTACAAGAGAAGCTTTCATGGTACTTGGGCAGTAATAGATGATGGTAGAAGTGGTTTCTATTAAAAATTTGTTCAGGGTCATGCTTAGAAATTAGGACAGATGGTATATATCAGTAAGGTTATTCACTATACTACCATATAGTCTGGTGTGTTGTTCTAGTATTAAGTGAGACATCATTATCATAGATTTATTTTCAATCACAACCCTTGATTACAAAAGCAGATTTCATGGAGCTTGGATGGTGATAGATGATGGTAAAATTTGTTTCTATTAAAAATTTTTCCATTAATTTGTCACATGGTAAGACTAAATAGACTTGGGCTATTGTTTTAGAAACCATACCACAGATTGAATCGGAAGCCCCTGTCTCCCACCACCACCAACTGGGAAGTGATACCTATCCAGTTTTCTTGTTCAACTTTTAATTGTACAATAGGGTAGTCTTATATCATCTTGAACACGTGCATATAACTGTCTTACTTGAAGGCCAACATTACCTTGTATAAAATTCGTCACTTTCTGATCCACCAGATTTAAGGAAACCTTATCAAAGTAAACTTTCCTGTATTCAGTTTATTGTATTTAAATAAGATAATCTCATTACTAATAAAAAAAGAGGAAAAGAAAGAAAGACAAGTAAAAGAAAAGGAATGGAAGAGCTTGATTCCAACATAAGGAATGCTAGCTATAGGGATTAGTCAAACCCATCTTTGAATAGAGGTGCTTGAACGTCATTCTGTCCATGTATAATAAATAAAGTTTAAATTGTCACTGATGAAAGAATACAGGTGCTTGAACACTGTTATCTGGTCCTTTGTGCAAGGTCAAGTCTATTGAACATTACATTCATTCGAACCTGCATGATGTAACAGATCCATGGTGTTCAACGTACCATATTCAAGGATGGATTTAACCAACCTGCATAGCATTGGTCTTCCAAAATTTAGCTTTTTCCAACTCTCTTACTGACATGATCTGCTGCTTTTGATACAGAAATTGTAAGGAATCTAAATAGTGTCTGCAAATGTTGTATATTCATTACAGATTGCTGAAGCAGAAACAACATCTTTGAGTCAACGAAGAAGGATTGAAGAGTTTGAGTTGCAGCTCTGCCAAGCAGATGATACAATACGACACCTTAGGTCTGAGTTGAAGATAGTGCAAGATGAATTTCAGAAGCTGAAAAACAGCCCTCTGCAGCCACTAAGTGAAGTTGAAGGGAATGCTGTTTCTTATGATGATTCATCAAAGGACAAGAAACCAGATGCTTCAGAATCCATTATATGCCCTCCTCTTGTCTCAGGTCCCAGACCTACATCAACTAATGACATGAAGAATATGCCCGTGGATCAGAGAAATGCAGGTGAAAAGTGCTGTCCTGCATTGGAGAATGCAACGACACAGATTGAACCATTGATTGATTCTTCTGTGGAGAAATATTATTCTGGTAGAGAACCTGAACTTTACAGAAATGGATGTACTCAGAGAATTCGTGCATTTGAAAGGAATGCGCTAGATGGTGAACTGCCTCTTCCTGGACAAAGAGATGATCAGTGCTTGAGCTTAAAGAATGATTTGATTGTCAGAGAAGGCAAAAAAGTTGAAGAGACCTCGACTGTAGCTTCTCCCAAGGATGAAAACATCATGGAGAGAAACCAAACTGAGTTAGGATTAATGCAGCATGATAGCAATTGCAACAAAGGTGATGTGAAGTTCTTTCACAGATTTAAGCGAAGAAGAAAAGCTAGATGCAGAAAGGCTACCTCATGCAGGTTTATTCCTGATCAGGCCATGAAACCTCATGAACCATCTTTCCTTTCTCGTTCTAAACCCTCTGCCTATTTGGTCAATGGTGATGTTGAATCTGGTGAAGATCCATCAAATGCAATTGAAGGTGAGAACCAGAACTGTTCTGATTCCCATTTGGCTTCCCTGTCACAGTCTAATGCAACTGGCATGGATACTCAATTGGGATGTGTTGATGGCGTTGGAAGTGAGCTTACACTTAGTGAAGCAGGAAATTGTCAGAATGCTACAAGCAAGGATTCAGCATTGATAGATGAGTCAGCATTAACAAGCCAGGATAGCAAGGCGGCAGTTGCTTCAGGAGACACAGAGTGCAACACAAACCTTGAGACAGCTGGTGTACAGTTAATGAATTCTGATCCCAAAGATGGAAAAACATTTGAAACCACAGGTGGGGTTCCTACTCAAGCTGTGAATGATAGGCTTCTTAAGTACACATTCCGGAGAAAGCGGAAAAAGGAATCCTTGAGCAGCCCTGATGAGAATGCCTCTCTTGAAAAGAAAAGCATGCCAAATAGGAGAACAAGAGATAACCAAAGCAGTGCTCAAGAGCCACAAAAGTCAAGCTTGATAATAGAATCATCTCGAGATAGTAGGCGACTGGTACAAGTTGCTCGACAGGTTGGTGTATGCTTTCTTTTTTATCCTCTATTACAGATTTTTCTTGATGTGTGTTTGAAATTGGATTTTCTCAGTTTTTTTATTAATTCAATGGATAAAAGTTGTGCTAAATAGAACCCAGTAATTGTGGGTTGAAGTCTATGCCAAGACTTGGCTTGGTTTGATGATTATAATTGTGTATTCCAAGTCCCATCAGATTATACATTCTTCTAGGTCATCTGGAAAAAATGGAAAAAATTATGTTGAAGAGCCTAAATAAGTTGTAGCACTCTTAATCCGGAGCTGAACAGTGGAGGATGATGGACATCAGATATCTTCCAATATATCCGTTTTTTTTTTTTAAATGGGCAGAGAACTATATGGTAGTCCTTTAGGTTGGCTGACTGATTTGTGGAGTAGATCATCTAGGTTGGTTGTCGCAAAAGGTTGTTCCTGTTCTTTGCATGAGGATGACATGTTCATCTGTTTTATCTAGAGTAAATGTTTATATAATCATGCATTCAATCTGATTAATTTCCATTTTTCTACATCCATGTGGTGTCACTGGTGTGGTGCTTAATGATTCATTTGTAGACTTGATATTCATGATTAGACAGGCTACACGAAAATAATCCTTATATGTTTTCTTTTGTGCAGCTCATTTCTTTGTCTGAGAAACGGTGGTGGTAGTTAGAGTTGGCTGTATCTTACATCCAATGATCCTACGTTAAGGAGATTGAGCTTTGGGGGAACTGAAAACGGGTTCCCTAACTGGTGGAGGTCTCAACAATCTTCATCTCCAGAGAACGCTGAATGACTTCCACTTATGAAAAGGGAGCTTGAATTCCTTGATACTAGTTTGTGGGCGTTATATCTAATAAATTATGATCATTACAGCATTCTTTTTCTATTTTCTCTTTCTTTTCTCCCTAATTCCCTTTTCCCATAGTACTCTGTTATTATACAACAGTATTATTTCTGATATTTCAGTGGCATCTTTTGTTTGCCAAATGTCATTCATCTATAGGTTTTCAGGGTGGCCATCCGGCTCTTTCATTCAAGTATAGGTAATGCATGGTAAAGGTTTCAAGTTCTCAAATCATGTTATGTAGCTGTACTTTTTTCAGTGGAAGGTACGTTTATAAATCTGCCATTCATTGGCAGCTTGTTGAGAATGGAATTTGAAACTTGGAAGGTGATGAAGAAGAATCAGGGGAAGAAGAGGTAACTAGAAGACTGTTTTGATCTGGTTCAGCTCTTCTGAATGCCTTTTCTTCTAACCACAACAGCAATTCTAGCAGCCTATCGTTTTAAGATGGTGGTGGTTCAGTGCCATGGATTTGGGGTTCAGCGTTCGCTTCTGATTTCTAAGTGGTAGCGCGAAGGGTTGAAAACGTCTAAACTGCAATGATATATGAACCCAATTGGTGGTTGAGTTGTGATGGCTGCTTCTTTACGTGGACAAGTAATCCATTTTTCAGGAGAGTAAAATTGTAAGATGGGGGACGGAAATGGAATTCGATACGAGACACTTGCCTTGAGGGCTGAGGCCCGATCCAACCGCAACCTTCGGACTGGTTCGATTTCACTCCATCAAATTCAAAATCAAACAGGACGCCATCACCATCCCAGCCTCGACCCTTGGTGCTGATAGTTTTATAGCCTCAATTCTAGTATTTATGGGATTGTAATGTAGCACATTGATGCAACACTAACATCAACAGCCACATAAATGGATGGTCGGGTTGTCGTTTGGAACTGTCTGGAATGCGAGTTATATCGTGAGACCAACTAGCTCACTTGGAACCATTGGATGTGATGATGTGCGATTTGGAAGTTCCTAACTGGAAGGTTGCTTGACGTGCTCATGTGGTGAGCTGGATGAAACTGCAAAAACAGGGATCAGAGAGACCGGGGTGGGTGACCTAGTGAGGTCGCTCCGATGCTTAAGTCAGTATTTTTGTTGTGGTTGCGAGCTAAAATTTGAGTGTTAAGAGAGCTTAATGTAAGTAATCACGCATACCTCTCTATGTCATTGGGGTTGGTGCCTTTATATAGGTTTTGTTTGGTGTGGGCTTCACGCACTGCATCCGAGATTTTCGGGAGGTCACTTAACCGGTCCAAGATCCCCGGAGGTAACCGTTACGCACGTTGTCCATCCTCCGGAACATTCGGTACGTGGGTCAACTTTCGAGAAATTTGGGAGTGTCGGGATATGCATATCGAATTTATTGGCGAGCACAACTCGTAGGTCACCTCCTGGACCTCAGTTAGGTTGGCAAGCCCTCGAGAGAGTTTGCTCATCGCGTCGAGGTCACATCGGCCAGTGACGAGGTGTTATAGGTCGGCCCTAGACGAGGTTCTCTTAGTCAACCTAAGTTGAGGTCGAAGTCGCTAAGTCAGAGCGAAGACGAACCACGATCTGGGATTCCAAATCATCGCTTAGGTGGTGTCCATGTGTCATCCAACTGTCCAAGATGCCATGTGTCACAATGTGACTGGAGGGCCAAATCCGCCCTCATCAATTACCCTCACTCCCGAGTTGAGGGCAGCTCAACTAAGGGAGTAGATTGTTCCTTTTGGCCCAGAATGATTGTTTAATGAACTCGTAGTCGTATGTGTCGGTCCAATTTGCTTATCAGGTCGGAAGAACTCAAGTGTTTGCAGCCTTATGTAAGATCTCGTTGTCTTGATTTTTGGGGCACGAGAGCAGATTCATCTGCTCGAGGAGAGGTGAAGCAAGTATCCTGAGGACATATACCTTATTAGGGATGCAACCATCAAGGGGTTCTGCAATCCGACCTATTACCTCAAGAGCGGAGCTCCTCATGCTGTCTTAAAGAAGGGGTTCTAACTGCGTGACTGAGATTTATTAGGTTGCTCCACCTAGGTAGACTTCGACATGGTGTCACTCGAACTGATTCTCAAAAGAGTAGCCAGTGAATTTGATGCGGAGCCTGAAACCAAAGTGAAGAGATCGACCAAGTTTGCATCTGTCATGGTGCTGAGAGCGAACTAGTCTTTCCTTTGTTCTCTTTCTCGTGCTGAATGCGAACTACTTTTTTATTTCGCCCATGCAAAAGAGGCGATTGGGTCTTATGTGGTGCCGATGTCTTTTATCAGCTTGGCACCTTAGCCCTTAGGTTTTGGGAGCGACTCGAGGTCCACTCTCCTTATCTTTGCCCATGCCGAAGAGGCGACTGGGGTCTCATGTGGTGCCGAGGTCTTTTACCAGCTCGACACCTTAGCCCTTAAGCTTTGGGAGCGACTCGCGGTCCACTCTCCTTGTCCTTGATGTTGCCCATGCCGAAGAGGCAACTGGGTCTCATGTGGTGCCGATGTCTTTTATTAGCTTGGCACCTTAGCCCTTAGGCTCTAGGAGCGACTTGCGGTCCGCTCTTCTTATCCTTGATTTTTCCCATGCCGAAGAGGCGATTGGGTCTCATGTGGTTCCAAGATCTTTATCAGCTCGGCACTTTAGCCCTTAGGCTCTAGGAGTGACTTGCGGTCTACTCTCCTTATCCTTGATCTTGCCCATGCCGAAGAGGCGACTGTGTCTCATGTGGTGCCGATATCTTTTATCAGCTCGACACCTTAGCCCTTAGGCTCTGGAAATGACTCGAGGTCCACTCTCCTTAACATTATTTAGCCGATGTGCGGCTTGACCTTTCTGTCTAAGCGGGTGGTCATTCTATAGTAACTTCTCATATGGCTGCTTCTACGTCATCTCATGGCATTATCTTTTTTGGTGAGTGCTTGCAAGACTGCTGTGTACGTGTTCTGCCCCCCACCTTGCGAGGGTTGTTGATACATAATGTTGTTGTCAGTGTGAGTTGGCAGTTCGGGGCCACGACTGCACTACATCAGCCTCGTTGTGACGCCAGTCATCCATTCCTACAAGAGAGGCCACTGGGAGCTCGACCTGCGGGGGCAACACTACTGACTCTAGGTCACCAGCTCGCGTGGGAGCCTTGGAGGGCTCGACCTGCAAGGGCGTCCATGTAGTCTGCTAGCCGCCGACTACTGTGAGAGCTATGAAGGGTTCAACTTATAGAGGCAACCTCCCGACATGGGGCTAGTGAGGCCTCACCCTGGCTGACTGTTGTTGAGGATGAGTTGATATCGTTCTGTTGCTGTCTACATCGAGCATCAATCCCGGTGGGAACCGCTGATGGCTCTACCACGGGAGAGGGCCGTTCACATGTGGTAGCTGGGTATCTATTTGAGGCACTAGGAATGTTGAGTTCGGCTTGAACTTGTCTGATTGTCATAGGGGAGTCCTCAAGGTTCATCATGGATGTCTTTTCCCCCCAGTAATTGATATTCGTTCTAGATGTTGGTACTGCTCAAAAATGCCTTTGAGTTCATAAGAAATGGAAATTAAAGAGTGAGAACTTAAATTTTTAACAGGTGAGATCTTTAACTTTTTGGAAGATGAGACTTATCCTTTTAGAAGGTGAGAACTTAGCTTCTTGTAGCATTTCCCACAGACGACACCAATTGATGATGCGCAATCTGGAAGCTCCTAGCTAGAAGGTTGCTTGACGTGCTCACGTGGTGAGCTAGATGAAACTGCAAAAACAGGGATCAGAGAGACCGGGGTGGGTGACCCAGTGAGGTCGCTCCGATGCTTAAGTCAATATTCTTGTTATGGTTGTGAGATAAAGTTCGAGTGCTAGAGAGCTTGAATGTAAGTAATCGCGCGTACCTCTCTGTGTTATTGGGGTTAGTGCCTTTATATAGGCTTTATTTGGCGTAGGCTTCATACACTGCATCCGAGATTTCTGGGAAGTCGCCTAACCGGTCCGAGATCTCTGGAGGAAACCGCCGCGCACGTTGACCATCCTCCGGAACACTCGGTATGTGGGCCAACTTCCAAGAAACTTGGGAGTGTCGGGATATGCATACCAAATTTGTCGACGAACACAACTCGCAAGTCACCTATTGGACCTCAATCAGGTTGGCAAGCCCTCGAGGGAGGTTGCTCTTTGCGTTGAGGTCACATCGGCCAGTGACGAGGTGCTACACGTCAGCCCTAGATGAGGTGCTCCTAACTGATCTAAGTTGTGGTCGAAATTGATAGGTCGGAGCGAAGACAAACCGTAATTTGGAACTCCAAATCATCACTTACGTGATGTCCATGTATCATCCAGCTATTCCAAGATAGATATCATGTGTCACGACGTGATGAATTGGTAATAAGCATGGGCCGGCGGTGGCGGGTCCATCGTTAGAGATCCCAAGCCAATGGGCAATGGTTTCATTTAAAAAAGGATTGAGTCATGTGAGCTCGCATCGTGGCATCATGACTTGCAACTACGTGACTCCTGACGCCAAGAAAACTGAAAAGAAAGAGCCGACAAATACATCTGAATTTTGAGTGACATTCTGTTGCTGTTGCCTCAGCATCCACCGTGCACGGTGGATCCCATTATGTGCCGACCTACAGTTTCGAAACAAAAGTAAGTTTACTTTAGAAATTAGAATAAGATTTTAAATTAGATTAGATAAACTTCAAGGTGATGTCACGTCTCTCTCTCCTCTCTCGGAGCCTCACAGAGTCACAGTGAGTGTGAGAATCATTCAAGTGCTAAATTAACAGAAGACGCTATAAGTTTGTCTGCAAAAGCGGAATGATAGTGTCAAAAAAACTTAAAAAGTAGAAGTATAGAGAGACGTAAATGATTTGATGATAAAGGAAAAAGGGACGTGAAGTAAGAGTGAGACTGTTGATGATGTGCCAAGTCAGAGAAAGAAAGGTAAAAGAGGGTGCCGATGATGATGCTGTTAACATTATAGACATATTGTGCGTATTGTCTCAGAGGAATGCGATGGTCTGCTTTTTTTTTCCGACGCATGCAGACTCGACCGGACGCTTGCAGACACACACAAACTCTCTCTCTCTTTCTCTCCTCTTTACTTCAAAGGCTCTGTCAATCATCCAACAAAGGCTGTCGGGCTTTCGGCATCCGTGAACCATGGTTTCTTATTGCAATTACCAAACTACCCCACACCCTCTCACTCCTTTGTTTGCTGCTTCAGGCATCAGGATTTGCCAACGGCTGAAGTCATTGTCATCGATAATGATCAATCCGATATACCATTCAGGCTTCAGCCATTAAGGGGGTCTTCCGTGTTATTCAATAAAAACTGTTTTTAGAAAAATCCAAATCAAGAAAAGGAAAAAAAATGGTTTTACACACTTATTTTTCTCAAAATAGAATAAAAATAATTCGTTTGATTAAAAACATAAAACAATCTTGTTATTTAAACCAACAACAAAAGACTCTCAAAACCAAAACACATTTCACAATGCTCAAATGATTTGCTATGGAAAATCGAAATCCATCTATCCATGAATTTTGATAAATAACACCTGATTCATTATTAAGTTTGTGATTCCAGTTTATTGGTCAGTTGTTTTTTCGATATCATATCTTTTCCATATATATTTGAAAGTGCACAACACAATGCAAAAGAAGTTTTATTTATGGTTTATTTTTAGAACCATAATAATTGATATACAAGCAATAATTTTGTGATTCATTCATATACTTTCACTATACACTTTTAATTGTACAGTCATTATTGAGAAGAGACAATATCATATAGATAACTTAGCATGTCATGCATACATCAGCAAACTATGTAAAAACTGGTTGAAAAGGCTAGCTCTATTTTGCTAGCTAGAATGCTGATTCCATGATGGTTGTTCACGAATCATGAATCAGAATGAACAACCGAAACGGCGAAACCTCCTCTACATGTTTCTGTTTTAAGCCCATATTGTCTGTGAACAACAACAGGAGTTCACAGCATAATGATTTATTCAGTAACAGACAAAGCAATAAATCATTCACCTCAAGCCGATGCCTCGTGTTACGTCTTACCTCAATTAGCTTAGCTAGTAATGTCTAGTTGCCTCCACGCATGCATTCTTCAGTCTTCACTGGGCCATGATCATCCCATTAGCGGGGAACAACAAGCCTAAGTGGTATTCTCGTAATTAATGTAAATATTATGGATTCTTTCCTATTCCTCGTCTGATAAATATACTTCTTTCAAACTCGTAAAGCACAAACAGGCTCAAGTCGAGAGAGAGGGAGAAAGAGATGGAAATGGAAGGAATTGCAGTAAACAACAGAAGGGAAATGGAAGGAGAGAAGACAAAGAAAGAAGATAATAGGTTAGAATTAGAGTTAGAGATTGTCTTGGTGACGCTGGGCACGGTTCTGCTAGTTGCAGGTCTGAAGCACGCCATGACTTCCCTGCTTGAGCAATGGCGCGCGCTGGTCTTCCTCTTACTCAACCTCGTCCTCCTATCCATCCTCTTCATGTCCATTCCCTCCTCTTCTGCGTCATTTAACCACAAGGACTACAGTGCAGAAAAAAGCACTACCCCAGACGGCAATGATACTCAGTCCCAGATCATCACCAACAATGGCAAGAGCAAGGAACAATGCACTGATCATCCGGCGCCAGCGGAGGAGGACCTCCATAACAACATAGATGATGCTGAAGACGTCATGCTCACAGAGCCTGTCGATGATGACGACGACGGAGAAGGCAACCCTCGGCTAACAAAAGAGGAGCTTAATGCACGGGTGGAAGCTTTCATTCTGATGTTTAGGCAGCAGCTGGCGTTGGACGCCAAGAGGGGAGGCTTCTGCTTTGCATCCAGAGTTGATTCAACTCCTTCACTTGGCGTAGTCTCGTAGAAGGAAGCACGTACAATCGCTCCCCGGTGATTCTATGCCATGGTTTATAATATATCTCACCGGCCGTTCACCATTGGATCCCAGATTAGAGAAAGCTAGCCTGAGGTTCAGAAGGAGTTGTTCGGATGCAATGGTGAACGGCCGGGGCCGACTGAACACAGCATATCTGTCGACTGCCGATCGCTCCGAGATGTTCTTAGTAGTTATATTTGCTCATTTGTGTGGGATGTATTTGATGTCAGCATGCAATTCGCCATTTTGGACCTTTTGGTGCTTGGTTTTGCCTCATGCCCTCATCTTTTGTTTTGGCTCCATTTCTATTTGTTTGTAGGGTGTCAATTGGAGTGGATTTGGTCCAATCCGATCCAGTCCATTACAAATGGATCTGGTCCAATCCAATCCCATAAATATTTTGGACCAGTCCAATTCAGTGTCTGAATCGTTCAATTTGTTCAAATTCATTTTAATTTAGATTGATTTCAACCCTAACCTGATTCATTGATACCTATATTCTTACGTTATATTAATAAACCACATATTGGCTTAATCAAATTCAATCCAACATAAATTTATTACAGAAGGACCAGGTCCAATCCAATCTAATAAATATTTTGGACTGAATTAGTCCAATCCAATATCTTCAAATTTATTTTGGATTAAACGGGGTCCAATCCAAAACCGGTCCATTGACATTTTGTACCAGGTAAAATGTCTATGAATCAAAATGAAGATGAGTAAAAGCGAATTGTTGGTCTGCTACAGTTGTCGTGGATTCTTCGGTCTGTAACAAGTGTTCCATTACCTGGGTATTTGCACATAGGTAATGGGACACCTGTCACAGACGGAATGGAAGTGAGTGTGAGTGCAACTGTGCATGTTCTAGACTCGGTACATAGTTGGTTCAAATTCTATTTAATTTGTCTTGTTTGTTTGGAGGGAAGTAACATTATAGGGTAGAGAGAAGCAAGTGGGGAGGAAGGGGATGAGCAAAAATGTAAAAATTTGCATCAGTTTTTGGAGTGCTATACAATTTACATCCTTTAAGATGAAAAAGATGGTTATCAAGGCGATTAAGAAGGGAGGGGTCAACTCTGCTCTGTTATTTCTGGTGATAGTAGATCATGCAAAGAATGGGATTGTAGCTAGCTATGAATTATTCAAAAGACTTCCCTTCTTGGCTTCAAGCAGCTCTTAGTTGTGTGAGCTTGGAGCTGAGAGGAGTTGATTGCTTTGTAGCTTGTTGCTTTAATGAAAAGTTCTTTTCTACCAAAAAAGATGAAAAAGACGAGGTGGTCCCTTCCTAAATTTTAGGAATCCCGATGTTTGCAAGACAAACAAGAGAAAAGTGAATCAGATGCAAAATTTTTACCCACTCCACTTTTTCTCTTGGACAAAGTCATATATGCAGCTTTAGATGTAAGATGGCAGAAAAACAAAATTTCAGCTTAAAATATTTTTTGCCCATGTATTTATTTTTTGAGTAACAAATAGGGGCTTAATTTCATTCATTTCAGTTTTTCATCGGGTGGTTACAGTTCAAACGGTTATAATTCCGGGTGGTTTCAATTTCTTAGCACCAGTAGTAATTCCTTGGTGGCCGTTGCTTTTCACCTCTCATGTCTTTTCGGACTCTCTATCTTTACCTTTGTGAGGGGCTAGTGTCGAGTTTGAATCTAAGTAGGAGTCTACCACATTCTGGATAATTAATGACTTATCTTGTGAACTCATAATTGTATTTGAACTCTTCTTCTATATCTATCTATCTATCTATATATATATATATACTTTCTTCCTTGTCGAAGACATGGGTGAGAAGAATAATAGCCTGATCCGTTAATACCCTCTGTTTCTATTTAGTTTTTTTACTTCTATAAGCTCAATTGTTTCTTCTGTTAGTGATTCTGCCTCACCTTATGTTGGTTATAGAAGTTCTTTTTTTTTTTTTTCTCCTTTCTCCACTGTGTCTATTTCATTCTCTGTAAGCAATTGTATTTGCAGTTTCTTCCTTTGTACTGTTTTTACTTCTCTGTATTCATATAAATTTCTTAGATTGAATGAAATATGATTTTTGCCTCAACAAATATCAAAAAAATCTGGACAGATGGATCACACAATAAAGGTAAATCTAGGGGCTGTCCTAGCAACATTATGGACAGTCATATTTGCTTGAAGGTTAACATGAAAAACTGAAGATGAAGAAAGGTGAGGTGAGAAAGAAGGGTTCTGTGTAATCAGGGAGGGTGTTAATACACCACGGCGGAGTAAGATCGAGAATCCACCAACGACCAACAAGAGCTCAAGAATCAGTTTGGCATTGCCTCGAAAGCCAAATAAGATCAAGTGCAAACTTAATTGATACCATGCATGCAAAAAAGGCCTACGGTTCTACTAGTTGAATATACAAGGAAGGTGAATGGCACAGGAAGGGACTTGACCTCCATTGTGGTTGTGGTCCCTTATAACAATACCTGCACCACCTTTCCTTTATCAACTCCAACTGTCCCATTAATCTCCAACTGCCCCATTAATCTGCAAAGTGATCATGTACGGTACCTATTTGGCGACACCACAATGAGAATGTGTTTGAGCAGAAAAATGTTCTACCAAGAAGCTATTATTAAGCAACCTCCTCTTTTGTATTTTTCTGGGTTTTTTTTTTGCCTTTTATAAAGCCTATTTTCTTTTATCATTTACATCAAAACAAATTTTAATAGGGTTGAAATATATATATATATATATATATATATATATAGTGGTGTGAGAAGCAGATACAGGGCTACATATGAAAAAATAAACTAACCAGATTTTTTACGTTGGACAGAAAATCTCGAGTCCTAAAAAGTTGAGACCGGACTGGACCTGAGGACATGTCTGACCTGGCCAATCCTAGTCCATCCTAAATTAAATGGCTATTGCTAGCACGCACCTAACTACCCAAATTCCCTACTGAGCTTGGGTCGACCCAACCCATCAAGCTCTTCTAGGGCCTGAGTTTGAATTTTCAATTTCTTTTGGCTGGGCTTCAACGTTCACAATGCCAGGAAAAATCTTCGGTTGGGTTCAATCAATGATGATAAGCATGCACGTGTTTTGCACGTGGCAATTTTAACTGATGATAATGATACTAATAATATATTCAAAATTTTCTATAAATTTTATGTATTTTTTTTATATTTATTATTAATCAAATGCAAATTGTAAAATCCAAATCTAATTGTACAAACACCTCATCCAAATATGTGATAATCAGATCGAGTTGTGAAGTTTCAAATATCATAGATAAGCCTACCTACTTTGCTTGACTTTTCTTTTTGTAGTGTTTTCTTTTTGGTGTATCTTTTTTCTTTTGTTCATTTATCAAAATATTGTAAGATTTAAATAGAAGAAATTAAATGAGGTGAAAAGTAGTAATTCAATTTACAATTTAAACTTTACAATTCATTTATCAAAATATCGATCAATTTGATTCAGATTATTGAATTGCTTAGCCACCATTTAGATAAAAAATGGTTTTATTTTTGAGTCAATTTTAAAATATATGGGTCTATATTGTTAAAAATATTGACATAGATCTAATTAATAACATTTATTAGTGAAAAATAACTTAAAAATATAGGATTTAATAAGAGAAAATGAGATTTAATACCTTAAGTAATAATTGAAATTGCATTTTCAACCTTTACAATTAGACATGTATTAAATACAAAAGTATAGGCATTTTAGTAGACATTTAATTTGGCATTAAAGCTATAATAAAATGACTTTTATACCCTTTCTCAAACAAAGAAATAAAAGGTTTGGACGTGGCAATTCTAGATGATGATAATTATAGTAATAATATATACAAACTTTTCTATAAACTTTATGTATTTTTATTTTTTGTTGTTATTTTTTTATTTTTAATTATTAATCAGATGCAAATTACAAAATTCAAATCTGATTACATAAACACTTCACCCATATATGTGATAATTAGATCAAATTGTGAAGTTTTAGGTATCATTGACAGGTCTACCTACTTGGCTAAACTCTTCTTTTAGTAGTGTTTTATGTTTTTGGTACATCTTTTATATTTTGTTTATTTATCAAAAAAAAATGTAAGATTTAAATAGAGGGAATTAAATGAGGTGAAAAGTAGTAGTTCAATTTACATTTAAACCTTACAATTAAATAGGGACTAAATTAAAAAAATGAGTATTTTAGACACATTTTTAAAAACTGGAGGAGACCAGACGGTCAAACTGTTTGGACTAGGAACAGGTCAAGTCACCAATTCCATTTTGGCTCTAAACCACTATCTTTCAAAAAAAAAAAAAAAAGCTGAAATGATCAAAGAACTGTTGACCCGAACGGTTTAACTGTTAAAATGTTCAACCCGATTAACGTTCTTGAGTTGCTTTCCAACTAATTTCCAAAATTTTTATTTATTTTAAAATAAAAAAAGAAAATAAAAAATTGAAAAAACGAAACTTTCATATCTCATAAACTTATTCGATTATTCCCGATGGCCAAAATTAGTTAGGTTTTTAAGTTTTTCCATTTTGATTTTGAGTTTTCTCATTTCTGCGATTCTTTTTAAGTTGTAACAGCAAAAAAAAAAATTTCAACTTTAATAAAAAATCGAAAAATCAATGCAAGAGATAAGAGATTAAACATTGATCTTATATTAAATTCTAAGATACACCAATGAAGCAAACGTTTTGGGATTTGAGAGAGATATAAGAAGAGGGCAAATGGTATTGTAACAGTGGTGATGATGAACATGGAGATAGCCATCGGTGATAGTTCTTTCTTCTTCTTAGGGAAAAATAGTTTTGCAGCAACGATTGGTGAACATGGTGACAACCACCTCTAGCGACGCTCCCTTTTCTTCTTCTTCTTTCTCACTTTTTAGCTTTAACCAATCGCCTCTTTCTCAAACTCTCACACTCCCTTCTCATAATAATGTATATATACGGTGGACTTTTAACCTAATCCTAATCTAACGGTCAAAATAAAAACTTGCATTATATTCTACATCTTATCGGTTTGACTTGCTCAAAATAGACAATTGAACTGTTGACTTGAAAACTGGAAATTAAAGCGGTTTCATTTCTAGATCGGTTGTTAAAACCTTGATTTTAGTCAAAAAAGTTTCACAATATTATTCATATTTTTAATAGTAGTGTAAATATAGAATTATAGATGTGTTCAATTTTTTTCTATAATTTTTTTTTGTATTTTTGTGTAAAAATAATTCTGATATATCACACTTACTTTTTGTTTAATATGATAAATACATGATATTATACATGTGCCTGAATGTTTTATTTTTTGCAAAATTATGTGTTTTTGTTTTTGTATTTTTATATTTTATTAATTTTATTATTTATTTATGACATTAAAGGTTAACACATTTAACCCAAAAGTTGAACTATTTTTTTTTAATTTTTATATTTCATTTTTGGTTAGTTCTAAATTATGCATTTCATTTTTATTATCAATAAAAATAATTCTTGTTTATCACACTTATTTTTTAATTTAATTAATTAAAATATTATAAATGTGACTATTTTCTTACACTTTTTATTTGTAAATTTCTTTATTTATTTCTATTTAAAAAATTTTATTACCTAACTATGACTTCATAGGTTGATCAATTTGATTCAAATGGTTGGATTTCTTAGCCACCACTTAATTCAAATATGGTTGACTTCATAGATAGTGGACCTTAAATTTTGTCAAAATTCAATCACATGAAAATGTCCAAAATATCCATACAGTTTAACAAAAATGTTTATTTTCTTAAATTTCTCTTCATATGAATCACTACGCCAAACCCTTCCCAAGGTTCAAAGTATCAATGCAAATCGGGTCGTATCAACTAGACCTGTTCATGGGTCGGGCCGGGCTTTGACTCTTTATTAACAGAAAACTATTAGGCCCGAGCCCGAGCCCGGCCCGACCAACGGGCCTATAACTTGGGCCCGAGCCCGGCCCTGATAA